CTTCATCTCCAACCTTCCTTACTTTATCACCAACACTTCCGTTTTCCTCACCCACTTCTATATCCATTCCTCGTTCTTCTGCACCAATTCTTCGTTCATCCATTGCTTAAATGTGGAATATTGATCATTCGGCGCACGAGGACTAGCTGGATCAACCATCAAACATGCTTGTGCAGGGAATTTATACAGTAATATCTGCTCTTTTGCTTGTGGGACGTGAAATGATATACTGCGCATGCTTAACCACATTTTAAAGCGTGTTAATGCGCATGTTACACCTAGTTATTTCGTCCCACAACTGCAGCGACCTCTCATTGAATTAATATAGCTTGAATTTTTAATGAAGAAAACCTCCAAAATTGAAAAGAATATGTTCTGATGAGTATATAAACAAGTTAAAAGCCGCGGGTATCGGTTTTTATTAAACTGTAAAGATCTCGGGCCTTCGGCCCTCGGTCTTCACAGTTTAATAAAAACCTCTCCCTTGGCTTTTAACCTATATGTAAAATAATCAAATTATGTCGAAACGGTTAAACTAGAAACATTTTAAAAACCACTTGACCGGTGTTTCAACGCTTCTATATTACTTTATCTATTATTAGTTATGCTATTACCTCATGCGCGCTTGCATTACTTACCCGTAGATGATTATATAGTACTTCGTATAGATATTTTTTGCTCTTTCTCCATTCATATCCACATTCTTGCGGAGAATTTATGCAAATCTTTTAAAGCAAGTTTATTATTTTGATTACTTTGCACTTGTTACTGACAGTAGTTGAGCCCCCTGTGTTTGTACAAGAAGAAAAAGGTGATATTATTAAGTTCCGCGGGTTCCGCATTTCCGTGGTCTGCAGTTCCGTTAATTAGTCATACCCTTCTGATATTATGCCAATAACAAAACTGTGGAATAACAACAGTGCAGCATTACCATATAAGGTCATGATAAGCCGTTGCCTGTAATATTTAAAATATCAAAATCGGCATTACTCTCAAGGCTAGCGACACAACAATCCATGATTTACCGTAATTAAACAAGATAAATAAATCACTACCAGTATCTTACAACAATTCAAAACCCTGGCAAGTGTTCGTTGAAGAATTAAAGTCGTAATGAGCTTGAACAACGGCATAATTCATGTTTGACTACAGTAATATCTATTTATAAATGTCAAGCGGAGTACTGGATCCAAATGTAATGATTTTCGTCCAAAATCCCCCGGTGTTTCCCAGAGCATCAGCAAGCCTCCACAGAGGATTGCAGGCTCAGGGTTCGAGATTGAGGAATCAGAGTGCTTGGTTTTATAAGGCATGGATGCAAAAACCATTAGCATACCCCCAAGCTAGTGTCCAGAACCCACTTAAGGCGGATTTCCAGCTTTCGCGTGAAGCTCCTCGCAGATCGCTGCGAGTGCTTGTATCTAATTAAAATTAACAGTTCAGCATTGTGATTGGATGAAAGAGCTCATGCATGCACTCGCAGCGAGCTGCGAGGAGCTTCGTGCGAGGACTGGAAATTCGCCTTAAGGCCCGTATGCACTATACCAGATTGCATCGGAGCGTCGCGATTTTCATACCGAAGTCGGTTGCTGTTCACACTACGCCACAGTAATCTGGTACACGGACGCGGCGTAAAAATCACTCCGCTTTGGAGATGATATGAAAAGTAATCCGGTATGTGCCGAAGCAGTGTAAGCAGGCCAATCCGTCATTTGTCGCAAAAATCTTTGAAAAAATTGTCTATGATCAACTGTATGAATATCTTAACAGCTATAATCTTTTGAATACTTGTCAATCTGGCTCCCGATCGTTATATAGTACCTTAACAACATTACTAGAAGCTACTAATAGCTGGTCTGTAAATGTAGACAATAGTCTAGTTAATGGAGTCGTCTTTATTGATATCCAAAGAAGGCATTCGATACGATAGATCATAAAATTTTGTCACAAAAATTAGGAAATTATGGGGTGGACCCAAATAGTCTTAGGTGGTTTGAATCGTACCTCAGTGATCGAACACAGAAGTGTCGAGTCAATGACTACCTGTCGAGTTCAAACTCGGTTTATCTGTGGGGTTCCACAAGGGAGCAATTTGGATCCGCTATTGTTCCTCATATACAGGGTGTCCGAAAAAAACACGAAAACTATTGAAATAACGTGTTGTCAGAATTTGAATGCCTCAGCACTCTGCTGAACCCACACGTGCATCAAAGCTTGACGTAAGTAAATTATATGCATAAAGAAACCGTTTAAGAACCTGTTCTAAATTCCCAAGAGCAGAAATTCGTGCGCTTTACAAATATATTTTAATTTCTTAAAAAGTCAATATTTAATATATGCATTCTTGTCAATATTTTACGCATCTGCGTTCAGCTTAGTGCTAGGGCATTCAAATTTTAACAATACGTCATTTTAATGGTTTTGCGTTTTTGGAGGGACACCCTGTAATCAATGACCTCCCGAATTGCCTCAATTATGGAATACCGAGAACGTTTGCAGACGATACAAGTGTTAGCTATGCGGCCGAGTCACTGGATGAGCTCCAGAATGTCTTAATTAAACTCTGAATTGAAAAGCCTTGGTAATTGGTTAATGGCAAATAGGCTAAGCCTAAATGCTGCAAAAACAGAGTTTATGACGATTGGATCTAGGAAAAGATAAGAGCTATACGGTAGATGATGAAATTACATTAAAGTCAATGAAAATGAGATATACAGGGTGTACCCCAAAAAAGTGACACTATAGAAATTATCCTATCGTTATAATTTGAATGCCCTAGCATTAAGTTGATCCCACAGGTGCATAAACTTCTGCTGATCTGGAATTTAAAATAAAAAAGCAAACCGTTTATTAGTGTAATCGTTTTGCTTGACTCGGGCGTTAAAATATTTGGACAAAGCGAAAACGTTTTAAAATTCTTAAATGTAAATACAAGTTCATTAAATTTCCAGGCGTGTAATCACGCGCGTTTAAGAGCGGCTTAAGAACAATGAGATAATTTCTATAGTGTCACTTTTTTGGGGGGACATCCTGTATAGGGTTGACTCAGGCAGCGTTTACACTGTACCGTTTTCGTAGCGTTCTCGTATTGTTCTTAATCCTCAAGGGAACGCAAGACAATAGTCTAGTTCTCTCGAACAATACGAGAACGTTACGAAAACGGTACAGTGTAAACGCTGCCTAAGTTAGCTCCCTTGGGGTACATATTGATAATCACCTTACTTGGACAACTCGTATTGATAAAATTTCAAAGAAAATTGCTTCAGCAATTGGTGCCTTAATTCGAATTAGACGGTATATAACGACAGATACAGCTGTTCAAGTTTACCAAGCTTTGACCCAACCCCATTTTGATTATTGTAGCTCGGTCTGGGATGGCCTTGGTGAAACGCTTAGTTGTAAGATACAAAACTGCAGAACCGAGCAGCAAGGGTTACTATGAGGGCAAATTATGAAGCCAGTGCGGGTACACTTCTTGATACTCTGCACTGGGACAATCTCGTTCCCAGAGTATGCCTGTTCGCGGGTTAGGTAGTGGCATGACTCTGGGGAAATCGAATTTTTTTTATCCAAAATGAGATAAATGGCGCATGCGCTTTTATTGCTTTTGTTTATTCCGCTTACTAAATTCGCGCGGGCACACGCTCACAATCGATATTGTTTTAAACAAAGATATCAGAATTTATAGTATACAAAATGGGTTTTTATACGTTTAAAGGTGCTTTAAATCGTACTACTATTAAATTATATTCAATGGCAAATACCGAAAGTTGTTCTAGCGAAAAGAGGGCTTGAATATTCGTTAAAAGACGAGACATTCAAATGTATCTCGGCCATAATGTAAAATGGTGAAGATGTTTTGGTTGTTTTGCCAACAGGTTATGGGCTTATTATGGCAAATATTAAAATATTTCAGCTGCTACCTGACGTGTACGACGTGTTACTTGGCGTAACTAATTCTATCGTGATAGTAATATCTCCACATGAATGACCAAGGCATTTCTGCATGCATGATGTCAAAGTATGATAAAAGGCCATTCTGTGCTACACTATATTATGGTGATGGCAGCGATATCAAATTACCATTGGATCGACATGAGAACCTGACGTATAAGCTGTTCTATATGCACCCAGAAATGTGTGTCTGTGACAAGAAAATACAAGCTTTTTTGAACTGTATACTGTAAACCTCTGAATATAATGCTCACCTCATTCCAAATATAAGCCCCCCCAAATATAAGTCCCCCCCCCCCAAATATAAGCCCCCTGAATATAAGTCCCCTGAATATAAGCCCCCTGAATATAAGCCCAGTATCCCACTATGTTATTTAACATTGACATTGTCTTTTAATATAGCAGAGAACGATATTTGAAACACTGTCATTGTCTTTATAGCTTACTATGTTAATGGAAGTGTGTTATTAATACATGTTTATTTTCCTGTTTATGACTGACTTGTTTATTACTAACACAATTGATCGTCCATGTATAAGGCCCCCATGCATATAAGCCCCCTCCCCTAAGCCCATCAAAAATCACTTACAAAAGAATATAAGCCCAGGGCTTATAGTCAGAGGTTTACGGTATTATATATCCCATATTTTAACAATAAACACATTATTTTTTATATTATATTACATTAACATATATACATGGATCACATATAAAGTCTTTAAATGACAGTACATTGTGTTTGTAATTATAATTACTATAATTACTTGTGTCAAAAGTAAGAAATGAAGTGAACAAATCCATATATATTTGTTGAAAAATTCTTGCAGTGGGTATCTTCCTTTTGCTTTTCATGCTTCACACTGTGTATCTTTGAACATTTAATCAGCAACTAATTATAGGCAAGGATATATTTACTAGCTCATTTCTCCATATTACCAGGTACATAACATGCAAATTATACATCAACCTTGCAATCCAGGCTTTAACCCCTGCAGTTGCCACTCTCCTGCAGCATGTTTGGGAAGGGAGAGGAAGGAATGGAGGTACTGTAATTTCTATATTTAGCCCCCTTCTCGTCAAGCCCCTTTCCAATAACCCCCCCCCCCTCATTTGGATACAAAAATCAAAAATAAATAAGCCCCTCCTCTTTTAACCATGCAGCCCTCATTCAATTTCTTAAAATCATGAAATATATTGCATTTCTGCAGTATTTTAATAAAATATAGTACAACGGTAACTCTGAATATGGACATTTTTTAACGGTAACCAGACTTATTGCATATATTTAGAACAAGTGCCCCCTCAATGATGCTTAGGAAACAATAATACACAGGAGGCTTGATAGTTGATACAGAAATTAAAGTAGTTATTTGATTGAAACTGGTAGCTATTTCAATTCTACTGTCAGTATCTCCTTTTATATATAATTGGATTAATTGCCAATATATTCACATAGTATAATAGTTTGGAAATGGAATCAATACTTGTATATTTTTAGCAAATGAGCATTGTTATTGATCAACAATTACTCTTATTGCTATAAACAACATTGTTTCACATAGCAACAGACAAGGAAACTTCTGTATTTAAATTCACTACTTATTTTTTATCCAAACACAAATTGATGTAAAAATTGTTTCAGGTTTAGCTTAGTTCTAGCCTTACATCGGGCTATTCCATTTAATATCCATACCCCCCCTGTCGAGGATCCCTGGAATTCTGGAAAAGGGTTTTGAGCTTGGAATTCTTAAAGGGTAAAGGGTTTTGAGCTTGGAATTCTTCAGGGATTTCAGCTTGGAATTTTGGAATTCTTTGAACAGGGGTAAAAAGTTTTGAGCTTGGAAATCTTCAGGGGTAAAGGGTTTTGAGCTTGGAATTTTGGAATTCTTCAGGGGTAAAAGGTTTTGAGTTTGAAATTCTTCAGGGGTATAACCATGAAAAACATGTATCCTCGACAGGGGGTGTATGGATATTAAATGGAATAGCCCATCACATGTGCTGTCAAGTGGCAATCACTTACAAAGCAAACCTATAACCAAATGTTTTACAACCTGAGGAACTTCTTAAATCAATTATTCTATAATTTATACAGATGCTACAAAAACACCTGGCATCTTAAATTTATATAGATAACTCCATTTACAAAAGCACAAAGACCACAGGCTACAACATGTTGAGTGTTGACCATTGACCATAATGTACTGTATTGTTTAAAGCTTCAAGTTTTTAACACAAGCAAAAGCTGTCACTCCAAAGTCCTGGCAACAATATGTCAATTTAACAAAACGACAACGTGTGCGATGATTTCAATAGCCAATTGGGCCCAATTCTTTCATGGTTATAATGAATATACTCGTACTGTAGATCGATATATATATATATACCATGCCAATTTGTAAGTATATACCCAATACTTTTTCATACGATTAATATCATATCCTTCGATATATATCGTTTGATTTCGCATTCCAATCTGATAAATATTGATAATTCTCTCTTCGCGTATGTCCACGCGTAATTCTCGCAAAAAACCACGCATTAATTGTGTCGGCAGCATTGATGATCACGGCAGCCAATCAAATAACGATTTAGATTCGATTTCCCCAGAGTCATGCCACTACCTAACCCGCGAACAGGCATACTCTGGGAACGAGATTGGGAGCGACGCTGCCGAACAGTGTTGTTTTCAAATTATAAACATTTTTATAGACGTGAATATCGAGTAAATCTTTGAGAATCTACGCAATATATAAATTGATGTTATGACTTATGCATTATGGGCATTCAATTAAGTACCGATATTATTTTGACGGTATATTCAATTTCAATATACAAAGCTAGGAAGCAGCGAGACAGTGTTGTTTTGTCTTTTGAAATGTATGAACATTTCAGGCATGAATATTGAGAAAATCTTTGAGATTCTACGCAATATATAAATTGATTTTTTGCATTACGGGCATTCTATTAAGTGCCGACGGTATATTCATTATACAGAGCTAGGAAGCAGCGAGACCGTGTTTTCAAATGTATAAACATTTCAGACATAAATATTGAGAAAATCTTTGTTTACGTGTATAGCACAACGGTGCAAACTCGTGTTCAGTGCAACGAAAACTCTACCAGATCTTACGAGAATCTATCTGTATCAAAGCTTGTCAAAACTGCTATATAAACACTGCAATAACTGTGAAACTATTGAAATCTAAAGTTACATTATTGAATACATGCGAAAAGCTGAAAATGACTCATGAAACAACAACGTGACCTTCGAAATATATCAAAGGTCAATGAGACTTGTTATTGTGAACACGTCATAATTAGATTAAAATGCGGAAAGCGGATGCGGATTCACGGAACGGATATGGGGATAAAATGCGGATGAAATGCGTCATTTTAATGAGTTTTTCGCCGCTTATTTACGTTTCTGTGTTTTAGATTTATGTTCCTTTTTTGTAATGGAATACAACGTCGTAGTGCTTATTATTTATAACATATCTTATACAGCTATTTTCTCAAGTTGTCACTGGGACAAAAGCCAAAGTGTACAATATGGGCGCTAAAAGGATGGTGGGAATAATCACAGATTTAAACAAGTCACCTAGGTTGCCGGCGACCCTATATAGTGTCGTTTTCAATTGGAAACTTTACAACATTATAACAGAAATTATGCCTTGTGACTAATATTATATGAGGAAATAAATAATATTACATAACTCTCGTCATTCTTTAATCTTAAAGTATTAGATTTAAACCAGATCTTAGCATTTTTACTGTTGTAACAGTCACGCGCGCTACTACTGTACGTCATATCGACATGTGATTAAAGCTATAAACCACGCTTGAAAAACTATTCAATTAATAAGTATGTCAATATAGCGTTCGTCTTTGAAACTCTGCACTATCCTTGGATCCCTAGTTTTTTTCAGTGTTGTGTAGAAACTTTACTGACTCTTCTACCCCGGTATGCAATGGCTGGCGCCATCTTTTTTCGTTTTTGTCATGTTTTGATTAAATCGCCATGCTTACCTTATATTTCCGCATTGGACATGTATCATTCTGCAACTTTGGATATTTCTCACAGGTATCCCGTCGTCTGTCTCGTCTTGAGTCACCTCTATTTCTTACCGTGTTGCAATCAAGCCACGCATCCTGCAATGTTTTATCCACTTCTGCACACGCATGTCTCGCGGCCGCACAACGTGTATACGCTCTGGCAGAATCCAAATAGAAATAGCTTAAGTTGCTTTTACATGTTCTTATCGATCGTGAACATTGGAACATTTTAACTGCTTCAGTACAGTTGTCGTTTCCACCAGCCGAACGAAATCTGGCTGAAATTCTACGTACACTCGCACTTATTCCAGGGTAAATGTTGTATACTCGTTTGGGGACTTTGTGACCTAAGGGACAGATGTCGTTGATTGGATTTGAGATGCATGGTGTTACTATTTCCCGCCTGACAAAGCCATATAGATCATTGCCACATCGAACTTGCGTTACTACCAGACAAAAAAGTATCAAATGTGTTGCCCAATACATCTATTTACAATTAGCTCTGTTCAGCTCCCAGTGTGTTTGTCTTCTAGACGGACGGAATATCACGTGATCTAGTATGTCCTTATATTACAACTGTAAGCGGAATGTGTTGTGGTAAAGTTATGGTAATGTTTTTGCCGCAGTGAAGAGGTCTTCTTTGTCTTTAAGTGGGGAATGATTCCGGTCCCTGCCCATACTTCATAGACCCTAACTCGAGTCCTTAAAAGGCTGTCCTGGCGCTTGAATCGGCCAAATTCTAGTATTAATAAGCGGATTTGCCCATAAAAAGGCGTATGTGTAGACGTATTCAGCGATCGTGCATGCGTGGGAAGGGCTGAGGGCTTCGGCCAAATTCAACCAAAATTTAATCAATTTGTCCCTTGGCAATGTCCATTGCTGATTGGTCCAACAAATTCTTCTATCAATACGTTTGATAGTTTTCTAGTTATCGTGCTGACAGACACATACAAACGCGTATGAAAACATAACCTGCTGGCCTGCGAGCAGTCCCTCAGGAGAAAGGAGGGACTGCCGTGACAACATATCAAGAAACGAAATTCACGTTGCGAATACAACGCAAAATTCCCATTGGTCGAAATATGTCTGTCAATCAAATCTGATATGTAGTTATTATGCTACAAAGAATTTCCAGACTTGAATGTTGATTTTATAAGTATAAAACATGACAGGCTCAAATGAGCGGTTCCTATAGACCTTATGCATAATGACGTCACAGATGCCCGTGAGGAATGCTGGTCTTAGTAGTCATCGCCCGGGAAAATTTCGATAGTGGCCATTTTGAATTGTTTAATTTTCCCGGGCGATGACTACTAAGACCGGCACTCCTCGCGGGCATTAAGCCTTGTGACGTCATTATGCATAAGGTCTATTGGATATTTAACAAATATAAAACATTTTCCGTGTTGATATACAGTTATATCAACACGAGTGGAAATTGGGAAAACGAGAAATTGGGTGGAAACACGACGCCCGAAGGGCGGAGTGTTTTCACACAATTTCGAGTTTTCCCAACTTCCACGAGTGTTGATATAACTATATATCAATACGGAAAAAATGTTTTATATTTGTTTTATAATATAGCACTGTCAAAAGCCCGAAGAATAAGAAAAATTTCCGTGTTACAAGCGGCGGAAAAGTTCCCGTGTTGACATGGAGTTATATCAACACGGCTCTTAGCCAATCAGCGTTCAGAATTTACAAATGCTATATTATAAATTTAATTGGGTATAACCAATGGTCATGCAAAGGGCGTGGTCCCTCCTTTCCCCTCGCACGCTCGGGAATCTAAACCTGCGGAAAGGAGGGGCCGCTCGCAGTCTACCTGGGGAGGTAATGAGGCATCAGTGAAAGTTTTATCATTTCTTCGCTTGTATTATAAACGTTCTTTAGTTGGGGATTAGCTCGAAATTACGCGCTGTGCGAACGTAAGAAAAAAAGTGTGAACCAGATGTTGGCTCATATGTAATGTTTTCTCATAACAAAATTGGAACATTGCTACTGTTGTACCTTGTAGCATAAATATAACACAACAACCATTATCTATCTATCATGCACAACTAATCCAATATTAATCCATGCAAATGATCTACAACTTCTACTCTATAATCTGACGTTGATCCATGCAAAACAACTACAAAATCCGTACAGTTCAATTTAACAAGACAAGTGAATGCATATTGCTAAAACTTTACTTCGATGTGACGTTTTTCATAGGGGAAGCAGCTAAATGTTAGATGTTGGAAATGTTTAAAATCATGCGAGAGTATAAGAAAACCTTGTTTGGAAAACTGTTTACAGTCGTGGCAATGGAAGTGTTCCTAAAATATTCTACCAATTCATTTGCTTACACGAACCCAGTTCATTCGCCCATATACAGACGGGCAATTTTTGCCTTAACAAGTTTTCCTTTACAGGCAACTTTCCTTTTCGTGTGTACGACAAAAAATGGACACTTTTTCCTTGTTAAGGAACCTTGTTCCAAAGGTATTCAGTCATGCCAGCTTTTAGTTTCAGTTTAACTGCTGCAACTTTTTATCAAAAACGTCGATTTGTTATGTGCATACAGGGTGTCCTGAAAAAGAACCCCACAATAATTCTGTTCCAGATTTTCACACAATTATTATGTAATCCAAGAGAATGTAATCCACCGAAAATGTAATCCAAAAGATCTTTAATCCAAAAGATCATTTAAAAATGATCTAAAAAAAACACTCAGATTATTAAAACTGGTCTAGTATTGGATAGAACCAAAGTTATTTATGGCTATCCAAAGTATAAGGGGGTCATCAAACCAGTTGACACTTCGCACAATTGATGCCATTTCAATGGTCCATAGGGTAAACCAGACTTTATTTAAAAACAACCATAACATTGGTTTCACTATAGACCAATTTTAATAATTTTAGTGCACGTAAAAATCTGGAACATAGCTATTGCATTTTTTTGGGACACACTGTATAATCCATACCGTTTCCATCAACCTAATAACATCTATAAACCTAATAACATCTATAAACCAAATAATATATATAAACCAAATAACGTATCGTTAACATATGCCTAGAAGAAACTTTCAGCGACAAGGATGGCAATGAACAAAATTGTGCTGAATGCCATGGCGTGAACAGCTGCTTTATTGTCGTAGACATTATCCAGGGAATATTTCTTTGCTGTTGTACCATCTGGCAAGTGGTCACATAAACCGTGGGCTTGCTGTATCGAGTTGGCATCATTTGTTTTGTTGACACTACATTTGGAAGAAAAAAAATTAACAAGTTAAGATGATTTTTTGTCACGTATTTGCGATGAAAACCCCTCAAAATTGCTTTTTTCCTATATTTATTTTCTAGTTTAGCAAAGTTCATGCAGTTAGCGCGACCTTTTTAAATGCGTCTGCCGGTTGAGAAGCACAAAATAATAGTAAAAAATTTTCAATTAAAATACAATTATCAATGATGATCTCACGACAAACCATGATCTCACGGCAATCTATTTTTACATTTGCGTTTTATTTTTACATTCGGTCGCATTATCTTGCTATCTGATCTCTCTGACTAAATTAGTTTCTTTGAAGAGCAATACATGTGAAATGTATTTGAAGGCCATCGGTGATATTTCAGGATAAAGCAGTATGTACTAACTGTCTAACTCCTTCACGTCATCATTGGGAAGATACAACACGCAATAACCCAAAATGACCCAATGTGTGACAGTCTTTTTGCAGTTGATCTATAGTGAGGATGTCGAGGGAGCACTTTTCTTGTGATAGTAATTCCTAGTCTAGCTCTCTTTGATGCATATCAGTATGTATTTCATATAATACTCACCAGCCCATGATCTCACGACAATCTTGTTTGCTGAGGAAGGATACGACCTTGGTCTGATCTTTGGAACAAGCAGGAATTGAAACTTTACACACTGCGTCAGCAACATTCTTTTCACATTCAGAATCAGATATGTTGGCAGTCTTCAATACCCTATGAGCAAATGCAATTCTGTCCCCTGCCAGGTTCAACTTTGTCACATTTACACTAAATACCTAAAAAAAAATATATTTAAGACTTCCATGCCTAGGATGAGTATTCAGCGAGTTGAAACAGTGGATTAGGAGGGCAGGGGTGGGCAGTCTACTGTATAGACCGATATATATACCGGGTGGGGAAAAAAGTACGACTGTTTGAATTGCTGAAAAATCAAAACTAAAAGAGCAATGACAACACTAAAACAAGTTTATTGTCATTCAGCGATATCCAACTTAAATTTTGATTTATATATATATATATATATATATATATATATATATATATATATATATATATATATATATATATATATATATATATATATATATATATATATATGATTTCGATATTTTTTGTTGAGTTTTTTTCTCAAGGTCTCGCTTACTTTATTTCCTTCCTTTATTTCCTTATATATATATATATGTATATATGTATATATGTATATCTATGATATAATCTATCTATATATAATCACTATGTAATTGTAATAAAGAAAATAGGCTAACAGGTCCACAGTTGCCCATAAAGCATTCTGCATATTTTAATATTATAAAAAATATCTAATAGTTTGTAATAATCTAGATCCTCTATAAAACCTCTGTCAGTGGCCTTCTTGCGAAGTCTCTCGATACCATTTCTTGACCGTATGAAATCCATAAAAATGATTAGTTTATATACACCGCATATATATTTACTCTGTAACTTTTAGCACAAGAAAATGAATCTTTTTCAATTGATTTCAATGTAAAAAGTATCAAATTTTCGAATGAATTCTACGATTTTATTTATAATTGCAACTAATGACGCCCGCGCGAATTCAGTGTTGCGGTTTGAGCGTGAGCATGCGCACAACTAACCGGATATCCAAAATTGGATATCCGGTATTCCGTTTCTCCAGAGTCATGCCCAGCACCTAACCTGCGAACGGGCATACTCTGGGTACGAGATTGCACAAATATGTGTTAATCAGTTCACAGTTGTCGTAGGCCTAATTTGTCATTACACTGGCCTGTAGGCCAAGTGTCTTAAATCCCTCTTTTTCTGGGGGTTTTTTCGACGAGAAATGGAGGCTCAGGGTGCAACGTTCTCCAGTGACATATTCAGTTCAGTTTCAAAATGGCGGCTTTTCACTGAGCGATCTAATATATATTTCACACAGTTTCGTTGAATTTTCAAAGAATTGTGCAGGTTTCCTTATGACTTTCCTATGGATTTTACTTGTGTTGCACTCTGGCCTTTCTTGCGTGTTGAATTAGTGTGTTTTTCTTTGTGTAACAACTCGAAAACCCCAAAATTTGGACCCAGCGAATTTATACAATATTGTGGAATATAAACAACGACAAGTTAAAGGTTTGACAGTTTGACTTTTTAATTAACAAGACGCTCCACGGAGTGTTAAGTCGCTGGGGCGATGGAAATATGCAACTTTAAGTACAAGTAATAGCACTAATTAAAGAAGAGCGTGTTTGTTTTTCCGAAAATATTGATTCTTGAAGTTTGCAGTTTGCCTGATAGTTAGCGCTAATGGTTAAAACAAGTACAACCATGTAGCAATGTTGTTTTAATAGTCGTATAGTATACACAGATTGGCTGGTGTTATGTTACCAACTGGCCAAGTTAAAACCAAATTTTAATAGCTACAATCTTGGACATAACTGGTTGAGACTATTTTCCCCCTATAGAAAATTCGCGTATTTTTATGATAAACTCCATGTTGAATCATGTTGCCATTCTTAAACCCCCGCTCCCCCAACTCAATGTTGAGCTTGTATCATGGTATATTACCAAAAGTTGTTTCGGCGTTGTTCACAACATTGAACTGGGGGGGAGGGGGAGACAAAGTTTGTTTTGTCAATGTTCAATAACTTTGTAATATTAGCTGGAATGGTCTCAAGGGTTTTGTCCAAGATTGTAGCTAGTTAGTGCATCGAAGGCTATGGAAGGCAAGAATATTCTTCGCCTCGAAACTAGACGCATTATAACGTTTGTCTATTGTCTAATACCGGGTGGCCCAAAAAAAAGTACTCCTGTTTGATTCGTAATAACATCTAAACAAGTATAGCTTTTAAAGAGAAATAACTTGCATCAAATAGAGGAAGGACTAACTTAGACTTTGATATATTACAGTTGTATTTCACTTAAAAATTCACGGAGATATTAATCTTTAAATTCGGGAGGATATTTCTGGATGTGTCTGAAATATGCAAAAATCGGCGTATCAAATATTAATCAAGATTTGCCCGACTGAAACATGCACTATTACCAGTAAATAAATGACACTTGACAAATTGTTTATTATGAAACAAAGTATTATTATATCTACAAAATACAAGCAAGATTCATTCGTCCGAAATTCGCGTGTGTTCCTAGCACGTTTAAGAATACGAAAAATTTAAGCGCCTGCCTTCCATGGTCAGTCTTTCATGTACATTTAAGTTTGCAAAGACCTAATATTAAATACTTGCATAATTTCGAACATTCATATTTCAGGAAACAATGAGCTAAGACTTACATGTAAGATGTCTAAATCTACGCCATATCCCTTACAAACCTTAACGATAATTCGCTGAAATACAAGTTAGCCTAATATGTCATTAAGCAAACAAACGCTGGAGTTAATATTTGATATGCCGATTTTCGCTAATTTTAGACACATTCCAAAATATGCTCCCCATTTTTAACATTAATATCTCCGTGAATTTTTAAGTTAAATACTACTGTAATATATCAAAATCTAAGTTAGTCCTTCCTCTATTTAATGCAAGTTATTTCTCTTTAAAAACTTTACTTGTTTAGAAGTTATTACGAATCAAACAGGAGTACTTTTTTTTGGGCCACCCGGTACAACAATGCCTCGTGAGAGGAGAGGTATTTCACATGATTACCAAGCGACTAGCTAATGACCTGTGTCTACAACCATGTATAGCAATAACGCTTTAGTCATATCTACTAATCTACATACCAGTGTGCCTGCCAGTATAAAAGTGGCGAACTGCATGGAATAATAATATATGTTATTGTGCCAGGAAAGATTCCAAGTTATGCACTTATCAATGTAAACCCCGTGGGGGGGGGGGGAGGCCGGGACAGTATAGGGGGTTTGATGACAAAACTCATCCCCTCCCTGGGACGTTTTCTAACTTCCATGTCCCCAGGATGGGGCGGTTTGAATTCCGCCCAGTCTGCTCACAGGTTGAACTTATTAATGCGCATGAGCAGTGATGCGTAAAATTTAAATCCAGCGTGGTCATTTGAGCGTAGTCGAAAGCGAGGTCGAAAGCGAGGTCGAAAGTGCTGTTTTGCAAAGCTTTTTACAGTGGTTTTTACGTAATTGTATAAAAGGCAAGTTTAAATTTAAACCAGGATCAAAGTTATCTGTTTATGAAAATCAGAAAATAGCATCGCATTGTAGCATCGCCTCCAGTGTGAACGGACCTTTATGTTCATGTCAATTCATATTATTAAAAATGATTCTCCCTTGTTTTGCTCGATGTTTATAAGTAAATTGGTGTTTTTAAAAAGCTTAAAATATGTAGCTCTTCTCCCTTGGGTGGGGAAAGTTACCTTTATTTGACCGGAATTTTCTTCCCCCCCTGCGGGCATTTGATTAGTTTTCTCGTATTTTTGTCAAATCCCCTCCCTAGTCCCGGCCTCCCCCCCCCCCCACGGGATTACATTGATAGGTGCATTAGGCTATTAATTAACACAGTGTTAAAGGGCGGTTCTCTATTTTACAAAACCAAATATTTAAAAATAGATAAATAAAAATGTTGTTTTTATAACAACATATTTTTGTTGTATTGTCAAAACAAAATAGTTTTACTGGTCAACGGAAGATTTTATATTTGAGATTTTATATAGTTTGTAGAGTTATCTTTGACAGTATTAGTTTTAATTACATTCCTAATAAATCCGTATTTTATAAGTTGAATATGTAGTCAATAGATTATAGTAAATAATCCGAGCTTCTTTGGCTTAGGACTTTACTATTAATAAAAGAGATGTCTAAAGTAATAAAATAATGCACGCTAAAGCGAGTATTAAAATATAAGTTAGTGTAAACATGCTAGGGCTACGAATTAAATCTGGTACGACTACGAGATTTTTTCGGTTAAATATCTGCTACTACAGACTTTCTATCGCCCTTTCTTTTGCATACCCTTTCTTTATGGCCTCTTTATAGCAACAGTTACGCCAAACCATGTACTATTATAATACAGTAGACACCGCCTATGATAGAAACGACATGACAGTCGATACTAAAGTGACGAAAAAGTGTATATTTCTACTTCCAAAGCAAAAATATTTTGCACTGGCACTTCAGGTAAAGCGAAAAGTACAAGGTGTGTATGATTTCGCACAAATAAACCGTAAACAAACACCAAACTATCAAACTAACTCACAGGAAGCTCTTAATCATAATACTATTTATATTAAATGTTGCCAATGTTTGTCTGAGTCTTCGCGGGGGGTCGAATATTCGTGACGTCAATTGCGGACAACGCTATTGGGGACGAGTTGATAAATTTGTATTGTATCCTGGGGGAATACAAGGAGTATAGGGAAATGGCGGGGGAAATGTCTCCCAAAATAATAGAAATACGAGAAAAGCGTTTACTTTTAGGAATTCTGATTGTCTCAGCTAGCTACGTTCTGATCCGACTGCATGAATTCCACAACCTGGCGCAAACATGAAAATTCGGACGATTAGCAGCGCTGGAATTCGTCTGCTTTCATGCGTCCCGGGGAAAATCAAATTAGGACACTTTAGTGACCTTGTTTTCATGTACAATGTGTACAACAGGTGAAGTCTTACCGTTTTATCCATGAGTAAATGAGACGCGTCAAATTTGAGGTTTAGAAGATACCGTACCACAGTCACGTGACCAGCATGCGCGGCGTAACAAACAGCAACTTTACCATCCTAACAACACAACAAACAAGTTTTTATTTCTTAATAGTCTTTCTTGATGGCACAGTGATTTCTACATGCCCCTTGTGACCGAGGTTCTACCCAGACGTTTTCAATGACGATTTGTATTACAAATGATGTTACCGGAAATTTGATATATCTGCCTTACGAGAGCTTGAAGTATCATAATTACTTACGGTAGTTTCTTTCGTGAGATTACTTCCAGATTCAATAAGTTGTTTGACAACAGGCAAGTGTCCAGAGTGAGCCGAGAAATGAAGAGCTATCCACCCATCCTGGAGAAGGAATATTTATATTAGATTACTCAACATAATTCATCATATTCTCAACACGCCATTACCTCATCTTCAGCGTCAATTTGGGCTCCCTGTGCCAGAAGCAACGTGAGAACATTGTGATGACCATTGGTGGCGGCAAGATGAAACGCCGTCCGACCTTTCGCGTCTTTTGTGTCGAGTTGATGAGCAAATTTACTAAGCAGTAAACTAACGACGTTAGCATGACCACTGCTCGACGCCAAGTGCAATGGAAGTGATCTCTGCAAATAAAACTTAAAATTAGAAACGTTTTCGCTCTAGCCAGGCATTCCTTACAAAATGTGAAATGTAAGCCAAGACTCAGACCTTAACCACAGATCTGTGCCCTAACTGCCAGCAAAATTCGTGCGACTCCGACACACAGAGATATAATTATTTTGTTACAATGTCATGTCATGAGATAATTATCACTTTTTGACCCGTAGCGAAGATTCGACGAAATATTACCCGTGATTATATTTTGAGAAGGCCGAGGGAAATATCATCATTGTTTATTAAAACAGCCTTTTATATTTCCATTCCTGTCTATAGTCTATTACTTTATTTTGCTTAACACTTACATTTTGTGCAGTGGATGTATCGACTCGAACACCGGGAGAATTGAGAAGAAGTCGAACAACTTGATCATTACCAGATCTTGCAGCGAGATGGAGGGGGGTGTAACCATACTAAGAAACGCGATGATTACAAATAATTTAATTAATGTTGGATTAGAAATTCAAATTTGTCAAATGATTCAGCGAGTCCCTAAACACAATCTACTTACTTCATCGTCTTTCTTTGTCTTTGTTGCCTGAATGTCAAATAATATGAAGTATAAAACCCTGTCAGTGGCCGATACGGGCGGCGGAGGGCGGGTTTGCGGTCAAGTAATATTCTGGCATTTAAGCTAAGAGTTTTACAATGTTTTTTCACAAAGCGCTCAACACAGAAGCGGGAATATTTTGAGAACTGAGTATTTCGTAGGGTCTTCGACCCTGAGTCGCGTCATTCTATATTGGTCTATTCTCGCCACCAGAATGACAAGACGAAGAACAAACCTCGCTTCTTATATCTCCGATGTCTGCCTGACGTAAGATTTCTCGCACGACTTCTGTACGACCATATTGGGCTGCGACGTGAATTGCTGACAAACCAGTCTGGAATGAAAACGAGGTTAGGATCTCGGAAATGAGCAGAGTTAGCAACCACGAAAATCGAACCAGGATAATTTATAACATTTAACAAAAACACAACAACTTTCACAAACAATACAACGCATTCCCCCACCTTAGGACTTGCATAATCCAATGGGATTTTCTCTTTAAGTATTTCAATGACTCGAGTATGGCCATTTTTCGCTGCTAAATGTATGGCAGTCATACCATGCTAAACATGAAAAACACAGAGTTTGTTTTATTGCATGTTAGTTGATTTTCCATTGGTTACAGCTAGGATTTACTAGTGAACGGATGAGGCCTGTTCTGCTTTGCAATATCTTAAGCAGATCTCAACTCTCTCAGGGTTAAGCCCTGCATGCTCAAACGTAGATGAGAGTTGAGAAGCGAGAGTTTACATGAGAGTTTTCTCAATTCTTTCCTTCGCGTTCCAAAGCTCCACAAACGTTTGGTACCAGCAAAGTGGGATGCATTTGTTAAAGGGGGAAACTAACGGTATATATATTGTGCTCAGTTTTTGCTAATTCTAAATCATCCTAACTTATCGATGTGAATCCTTCATCATCCTACCTTATCCATTGGTGTAGCGTCAGCACCATTCTGTAGCAAAACTTGTACTACCTCTGTATGGCCACCGCTGGCCGCTAGATGCAGGGGCGTGGAATTGCTTCCCTGAACATAAGAAAAATCACATTTCAGTAAACTATTAAGGCAATGAAATGGATATCAAAATACGAAACCAGTTGAAATGAGCCTTTTAGACTAGAAATACTCTTTACTTTAGGAATTGCTCTTATTGGATAACATGACCATTTACAAAATGAAGAAATACTATAAGAAAACAAGAGAACGTACTGTAGTAAACTTCTCTGTCATGTGGATATCTTTCAATTTCAAAAGTTCTTTAATAACAGCCACACTTCCTTTGGCTGCAGCAATGTGAGCACACGTTTCACCCTCCTAAAACACACACATACAAATTAGGCCAACGACCTTTTCAAAACAACTGCAGAATCTGTTCATAGAATATTTAGCAATGATGACGTCACTTACAGCATTGGCTTGGTTCACCAACTGCGGACGGTTTTCCAAGAAAAACTCGATGACGTCAGAATGATCCTTCTGCGCAGCGTAATGCAAAGGAGTTCTTCCTTTCTGAAATTCATAGAATAATAAATATAGTGGTATGCCGAGTGTTGTAATCCAACAATATCTACATTTCAAAACATACATTGTCAGTCGCCGAGGTGTCCGCTTTGAGATGTAGCAAGATCTTACACACTTCCAACTTCCCTCCTTCAGCAGCCAGATGCAGCGGAGTTTTACCTTCCTAAAATTTAGATAGCAACATGAAAACTTGACCCTTTCAGGGTACAGAGCAAAACTCTCAACTCACCAAGGATAAAGCATCGATACTCGCACTGAACGAAGTGACCAACATCTCCACGATGTCTTTGAATCCTTTCTGAGCGGCAAGATGAAGAGCAGTAAGTCCTAGTTTTGTTTTTGCATTGATGTATGCTTTAGAGTTGAGGAGAAATTGCACGACATCTTTGTGACCATGTTCGCATGATAAATGCAGTGGAGTTTTTCCTTTCTGGAGAAAGAAGACATAGAAAATTAACATAGGGGACTTCATTGTAAGTACTGATTTTAAGCTGACGCTGCTAATGTGTCATCAACATCATGTTCACATGATAAATGCAGAGGACTTTTTCCTTTCTGGAGAAAGAAGACATAGGAATTAACATAGGGGACTTCATTGTAAGTACTGATCTTGACGCTGACGCTGCTAATGTGTCATCAGCACCCTTGTTCAGCTGTGCAGCTATTATTGATTCCATCCATTAGACCATATTACTATTGACGTACTTGATCAAAAGCATCCAGTCGAGCTTGACGGCTCATCAATGATTTGATTACGTCCAAATTTCCTTCTTTCGAAGAAATAAGTAGTGGCGTCAATCCATCCTAAGTATAATGGAAATATATTTATGAAGAATAATATAGATTATTTATGAAGAAATAAGTAGTGGCGTCAATCCATCCTACGTAGAAAGAAGGGAATATATTTATGACGAATAATGATTTATTCTTTACTATTAAGAAATCTTGTCTCGATCAACGGAAGACAAACTAACCCTTGTTTTTTGATTAACCAATCTCTGTACTTCGTCAGCAGACACTGCGTTAAATAAGGCCAGAAGTATTTCATTATTTCCATGTCGTGCGCAGTAATGAACTGCCGTTTCCTTCACCTACAGGAACAGAAATTCAAAGAAATGCATTAACGTTTTTTTCATCTCATTAACTCTCATTCTCGTTTAAACACCTGGGTGAATTTCGGGGACAGCATGAAATTTCGCAAAATAGTATTTAACCAAATGTGAGCAACAATGATTTCATTTTCGACTTGCTCAGAAACAACATAAAGAGTTTCAAAGGACTTACCTCAGCAGTTTCTAGGTTGGGATTAGCGCCATATTTCAATAAAAGTTTTGCTGTTCTTAAATCACGTTCTCCAATTTCATTATCGTTCCTCAACTTGCAAACATAATGCAATGGCGTTTCTCCTTTCTAAATGAAACACATCAAGTACATGTTTAACACAGCGAGTGACTGGATGGCTTGGAGAACAGAGGGATTGTCTAAACAATGAAAAGACAATGGAACATTCCGATCACTTGATTGGAACTGAATGGCAGTGTTCACCCAAGTTCTCACTCCAGATATATGTGGAGCTCAGTGGTGTCAGTAAATCAGCGTCAAATATCTTACCTTATTGGGCGAGTTCACAATCAACTTAACTCCATGTGTGACCATGAGACATGACGCGAGCGTGTGATTGACTAGAACCAGGACTATATCTTCCAATGATTTCTCGATTGCAATGTGAAGTGGAATTTCTCCAGTCTAAGAAACAAAATTGCATCTTAGAAATGAATTTGGTAATGGACACCATATGTTAAAGTACATAACATTGCATTACCCTGGATTTCCTAGACGCGTTGGCGCCCTCGACCAGCAATAATTTAACCATAGCAAGATTGCCATTTCTTGTAGCAATGTGAAGTGATGTCTCGCCATTCTAACACATAAACACAAGGAAAAAGTTTATTTTACTGCGACTTGGGACGAAATATGGTCAAATAGTTGATACGCACCTCCTGAGGGACATCGACGTTAGCTCCGCTCTTCAGCAACATATCTGCAACCCCTGTACCGCCTTTTATACGAGCAGCGATGTGGAGGGGAGTTTCTTCAAGCTTTTAAAAAAGGAAAATATAGAATCGGGATTAGTTTATTCAATTAGAAAGAGTAAAAAGCATCTCACCCGAAATAAGCCGCGACTAAAACAAGCCTAGGGTTGTTTCTAAGACTGCTTTCACGAGGCGTTAGCGCAACAATCCATAAGAAGCATTTTACATTGGTGATTGGTTTATGTGGTAAAACGCTACTTACCCTTCCCCCCTTGAGGTGAACATTTGCTCCGTACCCCAACAGAGTCTGCACTACTCTTGGTTGGCGGTGTTGCACAGCAATATGCAATGGAGTATACATATCCTAGAAAATATAATCATTCAGAAAAATACCAGTTAAAAATCCGAGTTTATTCTGCCTTGGTCGAGCGTATTAGAAGACAGACGCTCCAATGACGCCATTTCCCTGACGTATGCATACATCGCGAACCAATAGCATGCGTTGATTAGATAAAAATGCGTTAATATTGTTGATGAGTGATATTACCTTAGTCTTCGTGTCCACTGAAGCTCCCTTATTTAACAACGCCTTTACAACTCCCACGTGACCACAGTGAACTGCTGCGTGCAGAGATACCTCACCACTCTGGAGAAATATAGAAAAATGATTTATCACGAGAGCACGACTGACTGATTGACTGGCACGCTACCTGGCCGAGCGACTCAATTATACTCAACTTACTTTGTTTGGCATATGGAGTGGAACTCCTTTCTTCAATAACGTAAGAACAGTTTCGGAATGACCATTTTGAGCAGCAATGTGAACAAGCGTGTCACCAGACTAAAAGATAATTAAAAGAAATAATTTAATAATTTCCTTGGCAAATTCTCCCCCAATCAGAAGTCCAGGAAATGTTTATACGTTTATAGTGTGTGCAGCAAAACTTATCGAACAAAATGTTTTGTTAACTCTAACCTTAGCCCTGAAGTTGACGTCGACTTTCACTTTATCAACGAGATATTCAACAATATCTGAAAATCCTCTTTCAGCAGCAATATGCACGGCAGTGCGATCATGCTGAAATAAAATGAAAAAGATTTAAGTCATAGCTAACATACAGTTAATATTAATACGACGTATTTGTATTAAAAATTTTGCATTGCAAATAAAAAATAATTATTTTGAGGGTTTTTTTTTCAAATGGGATAATAAATAGTTTGCGTCATGTCTCCTTTAGTTGTGTTGACGAAACAAAGAGAAACATACATTACCTTGTCCTGAATATCCGCTGACAGTTTGTTCGACGTGCTCAAAAGTTTAATCATACTTTCGTCCCCCTCATAAGCTGCGATGTGAAATGCTGTTTGGCCTTCGTTCTGTTATAGAAATACAAAATATCCATATGTCATATACTTTAATTCATGCACAACATTTTCCCCTTGACCAAGTGAAATCGTCTGACGTTAAACAGAGTAAAATAATGAAGTGGGGAGAATTAGGGCACATTGCGACTTAATAAAATTAACGTTTTATAAAATTAACCGTTGTTTCAGTGGTTATGCTATAAAACAATAACCAAATGGTTTTTCGTTTTCTGCGTACTTGGAATTGCAGTTCGTGTTTTTTTACGCTTTCCGAAAGTCGAGCAACATCCCGCATGGATGACGCTATCCTTTACGGAAAGCCATTTGGTATATTCTTTAATATTCTTACATTCTTCAGATTTATTGCGGAGCCTGCATCGAGTAAAATACGCGCCATTTCCACATCTTTCTTCCGAGCACAGTAATGAAAAGCCGAGTCACCAGAATCCTGAAAATACAAACAAATGATAATTTTTAGAGTTTAATTTATAATTTGCTTTTTGTATGATTGTCGTAAAGGAATCCAAGATAGTTAATTAGAAATCTGCTAGATTTTAGCACATCACAAATAACTCGTTGATACCACTATATATTCTAACAATAATTATTAAAAATAATGCATTAATAATTCATAAAGAACGCATTAATAATTCATAATTCATTCATATTCATAAAGTGATTTCCCACAGCCGTGTCGCTGGTTTTAAGTAATAAAAAATCATGTCCACTTACATAAACTTTAGCTTTGATTTTCTCCGCTTAGACAACGTTTAGTTTTAAAAAGTTACTTCGCCAATGAACTCATGGGATGGGTAGTTTTCACGCCATTTAAACCATTCCCAGCGCATGCTTCAATTATCAGATATACATACGCATATGTTGCAACTTACTGATCTAACAATCTTGAGTTGTTCTTTTGCTTTATTTGTCAATAGTTCTCTCACGACAAGTTGGTTTCCAGTCTCCACGGCTAAAAGTAGCGGGGTGTTACCATCCTAAAAGTAAGAATGGCTTGATAAAAAGAGAAGGTCTGGCCGAACTTGCGCTCAGGAAAGATATCAATATGTTCATATTTCAATAACGATACCAGACGCTACAGTACGTACTTTGTCTTTCATTAGTTTGGCTTCGTCGCCCATCGACCTCACAAGAAACTTCACAACTGAAACTGCGCCCGCAATACGTGTGCACGCCAAATGAAGGGCAGTCTGACCTTGTTTCTATCATAACAAGATATAACATTGTATTTTACATGATGGGCTAGACTCAAGTTGTTAATCGGCCGAAACAACTCTTGAAAAATCACTACCCGGTGGATAGGGCCTTGCTGAACTTACATTTGTTGACAACGTTAAATCACTTTTCTGTTTCACCAACACTTTGACCGTAGATTCTGAACCAGAGAGCGAGGCGTAATGTAGTGCAGTCATACCATCCTAGGTTCAAGAAATGCAAGTAAGTGGAGTGTGCTAATCATCCTTCCTTGCAGCTAAAAGCAAAGCTGAACTACGAAGGACACAGCTCAACATGGTCGAATTGAAGGGCTGCGTTAAATTGAGAGTAAGGCAGCCGCCTCATGACTCGTGTACGATCACACAGCACAAACCATGATGAGAAGTTGACGAGAGTTGTGATTGAGCGCCAACTCTCATAAGGCTCATTAACTTTGAGCTGGTTCAAATTTCATAAGAGTGGATAAAAGTTTTTGCTCGTTTGACCAATAATATCCAGTCAACTTTCATCAACTCTCATGCAAACTCTCGCTTCTCAACTTTCATCAACTCTCATGCAAACTCTCGCTTCTCAACTTTCATCAACTCTCATGCAAACCCTCGCTTCTCAACTTTCATCAACTCTCATGCAAACTCTCGCTTCTCAACTTTCATCAACTCTCATGCAAACTCTCGCTTCTCAACTTTCATCAACTCTCATGCAAACTTTCGCTTCTCAACTTTCATTCTCATTTGACCGAGGCTGAAGAATGTCAAAATAACGTGGCTAACAGTTTTGAAATAAATGAACGTATACATACCATGTCGATGTCAGATAGAGAAGCTCCTCTCTCCAACAGTTTCTCGACTAACGCATATTTCCCTTCTTTACACGCCACCATAATGGGAGTTGAACCATTTACCTGAAAGAAAAGTCAGAATCTTCAATCACAAATTAACAAAGAAATATTACTGTTAAAGTATTAGGGTTAAAGTAAGTAAGGAAGTGGGGTGTAATCAATCTTACTTGCAGCTGAGAGCTAAGCTGAATTACGAAGGATGCAGCTCAACCTGATCGAGTCGAAGGTTTTCTAAGGACACATCTGGCAGCCACCTTATGACTCATGTCTGATCAAGGAACACATCTACGGTGGAAGGGTCAGTTAGGGGGATAACCCCAACCCACCCTGTCGAGATTCCCTGTGGGAGGAAACCGGAATACCCGAAGAAAACCCACGACTTTCGGTAGAGCGTTGACTGACTCTTTTCACATAAGTGTCGTGAGTCCGTAGCGAGAATCGAACCCAGGACCTCAGAGGTCTGACAATTGCGACACCGAAGGCCTCAGTAACTGTAGTGACACTGGACCGACCAATACATCCATTACACCTACCAGACCTCCAAGAAGAATAGTGTAGAATTGATAGACGAGGCATGTCACTTAGATTAAGGATATAACTCAGATGACAAACAAACCAAGTCACCCGAATTGAACTCGCCACGTGTGAGAATAAAAAAAAGTCATGAGTTATATATTTACATTAGACTGGCTAAGTTCCGGTGATTTTTCTTCCAAATTGGACATCCGCCCCAGAGCGCTCATCCATTCTCCAGCTAACATACAATGTAACAATGTCTTGAGTTTCACTTGGCTTGTATGAACACTATTTTCCGCGCTATGTGGCCGGGATTTCTCTTTCACTTCAGACAAAGCCTCCATTGCAGGCATCGAAGAGGACCGAAGTTGTTCACGTCTTGCTCCTAACAAGTGTAATTCCCTCTTCTCATCATTGTGTGGCCGATTATTTGACAGCTTCTTGCGTTCAGTGGCCTTAGCCCCTGGCCGCTTCGTTTTATTGTTCCGCATTATTAAATTGAAGACATTTTCTTAATCAATTTTAGTTGAAAACTGTCAAAGACCCGATGTAATTCTTGACATCATAATACAGATTATGAACCCACAATAAACAGAGTATCAGCTTACACCACAGTTCAATGAATCAGTATCCAACTGTTCAATAATTAGAAATACAACCCCCTCAACCCATGATGTTCTTATTTCAACGTTAAAACGTTGGCCAAGTTGCAAATATGTTTTTCTGTTATTTAAATAAGTGCATGCCAAAGTGTTTTTGTGGACACAGTCCCATTTTGTGTCAATAAAAAGTTGATTTAAAACAACACATCATGAAAGCTGTTCAATTGGATTTTGTTGTTTGGACAGTTTTGTTCTTACGCCGATCTTCAAAAGTATAATTTTAATAACATTCAAGAAGAATGCGTGAAACTGTCTGGAAATGGATGAAAATGAGCTTAAATCAAAGCCTGGTTTACATTTTCAAAGTTTCTGTGATCACAGTAGGAATTTTGCAATCGGTAAGTTTTGAAGGATTTGTAAGAAACGTTTGAGGAACTGACTTAATGTTAAACACTGAGTCTGTTTCCTCAAACATTTCTTATAAATCCTTCAGAATTTACCTCTGCAAAATTCCTACTGTGATCACAGAAACTTTAATAGTGCAAATCAGGCTTTACTCTGACAAGTGCGTCATGCAAAAAAGTTTTAGTGTTATTGTGTTATATGATCACGATAATAAAATCGTGGGCGAGGGTTCAATCATTATTACGTATAATGTAAAACGTTTTCGCCCGTGAAGAGAATGAAATGAAGACTTTGTGTTGTATCCATGACTTCAAAATATTTCCAGCACGTAATTAACATCAAAAATAAGTTGCGAACTAAATGAAGCTAACTGCGCGGTAATAAGGCAAATTAAATTGTAATTTTGGGTAGTTATGAGCGCGGAGATGTTAATTAAAATACAAAAGTGAAGTTAATCAGCTGTATCCACATAAACAGATAAAATACATTCCCCCGAGACGTGGATTCCCATGATGCTTTAGCAGGAAACAAGAGCGACAGCCGCTTATTTAAAACCTTCTTGCGGGGCTTTCTTTGGTGGCGCAGTCGTCACCACCTTTAACCTCTGACATCGTGGGTTTCATTCTCGCTATACACTCATGGGTATTTAGGATCGGGACAAGGAGTCCTGAAATTAACAACAAAAATATCCTTCAACCACCTTTACTATCCCTCAACACCACTCACTTACCCCAGGGATCATTTTACTCTTCCGTCGTCCGCTTCGTTCCAGTTCGGAAGCACTCGCCACATCTTCGTCAATGTCTTTGTCGCTAGATGACGACGACATTGATATTGTCTTTTTCATCACTGGTTTCTGTTCGCGATTCTTCTCATCTACTTCCTCCAAACCTTTCTCGATTCTCTTCTTCTCTATCGGTTTGCCTGCGTTTGGGTGGTCTTCGGCTAGATTTATGGGTGGTTTGCCTGCGTTTGGGTGGTCTTCGGCTAGATTTATGGGTGGTTTGCCTGCGTTTGGGTGGTCTTCGGCTAGATTTATGGGTGGTTTGCCTGCGTTCGGGTGGTCTCCGGCTAGATTTATGGGTGGTTTGCCTGCGTTCGGGTGGTCTCCGCCTGGATGTAGGGGTGGTTTGCCTGCATCCAGGTGGTTCTCACCAACATTTGGGCGAGGTTTGCCTTCGTCCAGAATATTGCCTGCATTCGGCTCTGTGTTTGAATTTGGGCGAGGTTTTCTCTCAAATAACTTTTTAGTAGAAAGGCTACGTTTAAACATTTTGAAGTGTTCCTGAAAACGTAAATATAATTTATTGATGGTTTGTAAGCTAAGGGCAACTTTATAAAATTAGACATGTATTCGCTAAGTAAATGAAGGCAATCACCGAACAAATGACATTGATGACTCTTCAACACTCCAGACTAATGTGTTCATGCAACCAGGTCAGTTAGTGTCTTCAACACTCCAGGTACAATAGTTGATACACTCATTAGGAACGTATTTCAGTTCCAGAAAGTTCGTTAACCACAGGCACAGGACGTAAAATGTCGCATCTCTTTGGGCAGTTGTTTTCGTAAAATGAGGCAACTTTGACGTTCGACTCCTTTCTCTAAATACTGGTTCGTTCGAGAATTCGCATCATATACCGGCGCCGCGTACAGACGAGAAGTTTCCCTTGACAAGTTTTGCAACACACAAGCCAAAAAAAAAACATGTCAAGGAAAACACATTTTTTGCCTTTCATTCCGTGTTAAACACCGAGTCAGTCAACTGGCTACAGTTGCCTCAAACATTTTTTTACAAATCTTTCAAACCTTATTAGAATTTACCAATGTAGAATTCCTACTGTGATCACAGAAACTTTGAGAGTGTGAACAACTTAGTTCATGACGAAAGCTGAAATAAAGTACGTGCTTCTTCGATTACATACGCCAGAATAGGAATCAATATCCGCTTCAATGTTTCATCGAACGAGATGAGCAAAATTTAGAATGGACATTGACAGCAATACAGACTATACTGTATTTTTTCTCATTCATTTCCATTTTAGAGGATCCAATTTTCAGAATCCCCCTTTCCCAAGAAGAACCGTTGTACACAGTCTACGTTTTCTCACCCATTGCAAAAATTCTATTACATGAAAATGTACACCTTGTCTGAAAAGCTCGGATATAGCGTCACGTTTTTCAACGAACTTTTAGCCTTTCTAATCATTATTAAAACTCGTTTTGTTTCATGAAAAATTCTACTTCAAAAATCAAATACGCAAACCTTACTTTCTAAAGATTGTTCCTTCACAACTCATACGTTTCGTTTCATCAATGTAAAAACCTGCAAATTATATAAAAAAATATAAGTTGAAGGTAGGTAAGTGTTCAGTTTCCAAACACTTTAGGTGTTTTCATGAAATCTTTGTTAAGAGACTTTGTACATTATTCAACAGGATTATCTCACTCGATACAACTAAATCCTGAATAGTTTTTGTTGGTGCAATTCTCGAGTGTTACTTTTATCAATCTTGTGGCTGCGAAAAATGCAATTATACAGTATAGGCCCTCTCACAGAAATTGGTGCATTCTGCGATTCCGGTGTATAACGCTCTAACCAACTGAGCTACAGAGTGAAGGTGTTGAGCTCTAGCCACAAGTTCATACACATGCTAAAAGGTGATGCCATGCAGCGTCAGGTTTATGGGGGAATATATCAGGATTTTGACCACTTGATTGAAAGAAATGTTAAAGCGTTTTTGAAGACAGAATTTCTGCATCAACATTCGAAAATTCCGTCTAGAAAAAGCCTTCAATATATTCCATAATTGTTCAATATACAAACCTTAGTCCATCCAACTAGTTCATTCAAATAGTTCACCGAAGTAAAAATCTGCAAATTATAGAACAGAGCAAGTTCAGGGTCATCAACACATTCACATGATTATACAACAGCAAAAATTTGTACGCAGAATGTTTGCCAAATTTGTTGTGGGCTTCGCCAAAATGGCATAAAAATACAACAATTAAGTTCACTTTTTACTTGAAAAACACTGCAAATAAACTTGCCACGTACTTTAGCACGATATATGAATAAAGCAATTCAACATATATTTAAACCTTTGCCCATAAATACATATATAGCAAATACAATTATACTCACATTTTGTACATCATATTCTGTCAAAGCAAAATGAAATATAATTACAGGTTCTGTAATTAAAGTCCTTCGGCTTCGTTAAAAATGAGTGCGTGCTTTTCAATTGAAAGAAACACAATCGCGTGAATTGTATTACAATATAGACACCAGCCGGAAATAAAAACAAACATACTCTTACCTAACGATAAAAAAATACCGAGTCACAGTTTGCATCGATTCCAGTGAAGCTATGAATAAATACTATGAACTGCAAAGTTTACGTGAGCAAAACTCTCAATGAATAATTATTCTGCTATTTGACAACTTTGATGAAGAAGTGTTTTCTCAGCTTGACTGTTGAGATGGACACATTAATATTTAAACACTTTCAACTCAACTAAATTGCACGAACTTTGAAGTTATCATTAACTTCAAAGTTCGTGAAAAATACCAAAAATACCAAATATACTACATAATTTTTTAATTGTTTTGTAATTTCACACGAAATCAGCATTTTGTTATAAATAGGCTACGTACAATGTGCTTTAGGGCAAGGAATATAACATATAGCAATTGCTTGGATGAAAATTTCTACTTTTGTTATTTAATAGATTGTGTGTACACAGTTTCATTAAAATGGTAATTTTAAAGCCATTTCACTACAAGTGGCATACAAAATATAATTTATATACAACACGAATCCCAAATATATTTTTTTGGTGTGGATTTTTGCGCCGTTCTAACAAGAAATGTATAATTGTACACCTTCCTAGTGAAAAAGAAACTCTTTATCAACTTTTTCGCCGTCAAAAGATCAAAATTTCCGGAAGAATTTTAGCAGCAAAAAGCAAAGGGACTAATCTGTAATTCATCCATGAAATGACATCATGTCACTTTGAAAAATTTGGTCAAAATATTTTCATGAAGCTTATAGGAATATTTTAGTAAAGAGGAAGAAGCTTATAGGAATATTTTAGTAACATCTTATTCTCACATTAAGCAGTTAATTGTAATTAAATGGAATATTATTAAAAAGTCACGTCCAGTAATTGGACGTAATTTGCAACAAATATACAACTTCCTGCAACTTAACGAAAGGCAGTTCCACTCCCTTTTCTTGTTGCGCGGTTAACACGAAACTGCAAAGAGTGTGCAGTAATTTAAAGAATAACACAATGGTTTTATAAACTGATAACTTGTTTAGCGATACGGTCTGTTAGAAAAAAACTAGACTTAGCTGGGGAAATGCTATTAAAACTGTTTACGAGTTACGACCTTCGGAGCTATTGGACGTCAATGGCCGCCGTCTTGGCTTCACAAACGAGTGAAGTTCCTGCTCATATAAATAGAGGATTACACGGCGGCGCGAAGATGATTTTTTTCTTCGAGTGGAGAAAACAATATTTTACGAACGAGCGCAGCGAGTGAGTAAAATATTGTTTTTAACAGAAGAAGATAAAAGTCATATCTTCAAGCTATTTATTATGTAGTCCTATTAAGCAAAAAATTGTGAAATTTAACGCTCAAAAGCAAATTGTCACGTGATCGATATCTTCACTACTAGTGAAGATAAGTAAAATATCTCACTCTCTACTATATAATAAATATATATATGTACGTCACCTTGGCTATAGCCTGCGAACAGGCGTTTATTCAGGTGGCTGAATAAATGCCTGTTCGCAGGCTATCTTGGCTATGGAGCCTCCTTTTCGTCATTGTGACGTTGACCTTGAAATAAAGTCACATACATGAAAGCGAGGCTGTATGGCTCAAGTGACGCACTTCCGGGAAGGGTTATTAACAAAGCTTTTAACAGACTAAATTTAATAATTTAAAAAAAATTTAATCGAAATCCTCTGTTTCTAAAAGTTTTATAAAATGCGCATGTAACAAACTTCTATCATTTGCATGCGACTGTCAATCCCAGCGACGTGAAATTTATCGTTTAATACCATAAATCCTCCTAAAGGCAACACAATTTGTAACAGCATTGACAAGAAGGCATAGCAAACAACAACACAAAACAACAGATTTAGATTTTCAGATATTTATTGATATTTAGTCATAAGCAGGGAACTCAAAGACGACATCTTTGCCAGTCAGCTTTTTGTACACACCAGTAAATGTCTCGAGCTGAAGAGAAAGAAGAGAAGTAAGATTAGAGTTGAGCATTCTCACAGGAGGAACAAAACTCATCAGGGTTTGTAGTCTCCAAGACCAAAAAAATTCAAAGACGTTTAAAGATTTTTTATGCCTATGTTCAAAGACTTTTCAAACACCTTTGAGAACAATCAGCTGTCGACCCGGTAGTAATTAGTCCCGTCAAATCACATCCTAAAATGCAGCTTTTCATCAATATTTGCGAAAATCTTCTTCAATCAATCTATTTTATTAGCTAGGAAATCGTATAATCAAGTACCCATTAAAAGAATTTAAAGACTTTTAAAGACTTTGTTTGCTTTTTCACACAATTCAAAGACTTTTCAAAGACCTTTTAAAAAGACCTGAATTCAAATTTAAAGACTTTCACGTATTTCAAAGACCACTACGAACCCTGCTCATCAACTTGGTTTGCTGTCAGGATAATTCCTAGTCTGGGTTTTTACAAGATGTAGCTTGCATGTTTCAAAGTGAAAAAACAAAGATGTGTTGTCATTTGTTAGCTTCTTGTCACCAAATTATCTTCAAAACCAAAAAATCTGTGATTGAAATAGTATTTTATAACCAAAATTTAAAACAAACGAAGGAATTTGAAGCCTATCTTTACAGTATAAACCATTGTCTCAGAAAAGTCAATCAGTCATGAAATTTCAGACTGGGGCGACAATTCTTTCATCACTGACAAGAAATATCTCTCATCACATATAAAGGTTCATTTTTTGAAAATGAAATGAAATGTATGTCTATGTATGTAAGAACTAGTAAGTATTGCTTGTTTTCAGTTTGAAACCAAACCGTTTCTTAAATAGTCCTTTTTTTATTAATTAGCCAATACTGAAACAAGGTGATATTTTGTGGACATCATAGATATGGAAGAAATAGTGACAGAACAACAAAAATATGAAAAATACCTTGTGTTCAACATTCGTTTGTTGGCTTTTATCTAAATAACTAAAAACACAAATATGTGTGAACCTTACTTAGTTCCCATGCATTGGTCACAGACATCAATGGTTGCAAACATTTGCAAGGTTATCAGAAAAACAAATAAATAATAACAAACAATCGCCCTGATACTTTTTACTAAACAACACTAACCAATCGCTATAGACTCATGTAAAAAGAGTCGGTAAATGCTCTGCCGAAAGTCGTGAGTTTTCTCCGAGTGCTCTGGTTTCCTCGCACAGGGAAAGTTGACAGGGTGGGTTAGGATAGTTAAGAAAGTAATAGCACAATTGTTGTAAAGATAAAATACTTGATGTGAAGCGTATTTGATTATATCCACATTTAAATTTGTGCTATAGGAATGCTGATCTTAATTGTCTCAGAAAAAGTCAATCAGTCATGAAATATCAGACTGGGGCGACAACACTTTCATCACAGACAAGAAATATTTCAGACGCAGGGTGGCACTCGTAAACCATTCACAAAACCTGTAACAAAGTTGTCTCTAAGTACAGAAATTATGAAAAGTTATACACTTACGCTTTAATCGTTTTTGAGCCATCCATTTTCACATGAATTCTTTTGCCTACAATCTCACTTGGAAAACAGAGATCTTCCAGAATAGCATCATGAACAGACGTCAACGTTCGGCTGTAAAATAATAGATAAAGTGATTAACCCATTGAGTGGCAGAACTCTCCCCTTGATGAGTAAAACTGTCTGGTGTCACAATAAAATAACAAAGTAAGCCAATTAGGGCAGATTGCCTTTCTAAGCGTTAATTAAACAGGAAGAATGTACAAGTATTCTAACCCACCTTCGAGGTCTCATCTGTTTTTGATTTCTAGTTTTCCTTGAAGGCTTAGGAAGAATTCTTCTCTATCAATGAAAAATGAAAATAACAAAGCACATTGAAATTTTGAATTAAACATTGTGAATAGACAGTACCCTTGTAGCCTGGTTTGAATTAGCAATATGCATATTTTAGGAACAGCTCTCTAACTTGAACTGGGCATATCAAGTTAACAATTTATAAACACTTGTACACAAGTGAACATAAGCCTACCTGTGCTACAGCCACAATATGTTTGCCGCTGAATTTATAAACACTTGTCCACAAGTGAACATAAGCCTACCTGTGCTACAGCCACAATATGTTTCCCGCTGAATTTCTTCTCCATTTCACGTACAAGCCGAGCCTGCAGAGATTCAACAAATTTCAATTTTTACACACTGGGTAGCAAGCATTATCAACCAGCAGGAAAATAATGAGTCATTTCAGAAATGATTGTCAATCAGTCACGTTGTATCAGACTGGGGCGACAACACTTTCATCACAAACTGCAATTTTTCTAAGAAATTCTATTCATAGTCACCTGGATTTTCTGGAAAGATTTGAGCTGTGGAACTGGAATAAATATGATGACAACTTTCTTCCCGGCAATATCCAATTCCTAGAAACATTTCAGGAAAGTTGCGTTGGACATAAACGGTTATTTATATCACAATCAATATTCCTGTACCGTACCTTAGCCCCAGAGATGTAGAGTTCCCTGAGCTGTTGTTTCAGATCACTGTTTGCCTCCAATTCAGCAATAGCCTGGACGTAATTACAATATAAAGAGCTTGTCAGTTCCATCAATAACTCATTGAGCATGTAGTGAAACAAGCATCTACTACAAGATTATGACATGTGTATAGAATGGCTTAAGAAGATGACGAGTATTTGTAAACAACAAATCTTGTAGTCGTACCCAAATCTAAAACTCTCTAATTTTGCTTGGACCGTGGTGGAAATTGAAACTGTGTCATTTGCCTCTGGTTTCCTAGTCCAATGGCCAGTGTGGAAAGTTTGTATTTTGCACGGCGGGGATATCGGCCACATAATTTTGATGCTTTGTATATATTTACTATTAAATTTTTAAAATCTTGTTGTGCAATTTCCAAACTTTCCAGGCAGGCCCAATGGGTCGTTCCAGAACAGATACACACTCCCCCCACAGAGGAAATTTCTGTTGTCCAGAGGAGAAAAATATGTTTCTGATACTATTAAGTGTATTAGGACATCTGAGGAGGGGTTAATGTTCAATTCCCTCTGTGGGAGGAGGTATGGATGTTTTCTGGAGTGACCCAATGTTAAGCCGGTTACAGACGAGCAAGTTTTCTATGACAAGTTTTTATTTGACAAGTTTTATTTGCCAAGTGCACATGTGTGTATATGCAACACATTTTATATGACAAGTTTTATTTACTGGTGTGAACGTGTCAACAAGTCTACTTTGACAATTTATTAGTCGTGCTAGCAATTGTAATAGTACAGCGGACAATGCAAGCGCTGGCCAATCACATCAAATTCTCTTATTACTTTGACAAGTTTTCTTTGTTGACCCACAGACGAACAAAATTTGTACCTTGACAATTTTTTCTATGACAAGTGCGCAATTGTCATAGAAAAACTTGTCAAAGTTGCGCGTACAGACGAGCAAATAAAACTTGACACATAAAAACTTGTCATAGAAAACTCGCTCGTCTGTAACCAGCTTTATACCAACTGGCAACTGAGCTACGAGGTCAAGTCAGTTTGAGTAGGTGATATTTCAAAACTTGGTGTGATATTAAAGAAATAGGACACACTCTGTTTGCATCAGGTCAAAAACCTAATACTACATCAACAGACAAATATTTTCGTCTATATATACCAAAGATATATACCAAAGATATATACACATGGTGACATGGACACGGAGCAAGACAGTGACTTTCAAAAATACTGGTAATTTTTACTGTTAACGCAGTATTTTCAATTTAACTTGAATGTTGTCGTCAGAAATTCTTACCCCGGCTATTTCTTTCTCGAGTTCATCAGGCGCTTCATTATTAGGCTTTACAATTTTTGATGTAGCCATGTTGGTTGCTGACCTGGAAACATAGCAAATGTTTACACCTTATAAAATCATTGAATATTAAACCATCTGCCTTCAATCTGCGAGTAATCAAAATGTTCAAGTTCTAAATTTTCATTCAGGATCGATTACAGGAGTATTAGTTTAATTGTAAGGTGGAAAATGGGGGTTGAAAAGTGAGTATTTTCAAACTTACTTTATCACAAGTCTGGAACACAACCGAAAGAGAACGAAGACATGCGCCGAGCACCCTTCACGCATCCATTTTGTCACACATCCTCTGATATATGATCAATATCGCTGGCCCAAACGAGATGCTGATAATTCATGTAAACACAAATATGATGGATCAAGGCGAAACAATATGGCGGCTACGAGGGGTGGAAAGTTTTTTAGCAAAAAGTTTATCAAATAAGTAATTTTTTCCAACTCTAATCAAATGACGTAATGGCAAGTTAATTACAGTTTCTATTTTTAAACTCATGAAACAGTTCGTAGAATCACTAGTTCTTTCATGAACTCAGTTATAATTTATATTGTGATATTGTTTTTACTCATTCATTGCCAGAACTACTAGTGTCCCTTGCGCCATTTCTATGTATTTGTATCATAAACACACATTCGCACAAAATACTGCAAGGCACACTATCAGTCACATTTGAATAAGAATATTGAATAAGAATTTGTTAAACGCTGCTTAACCCTCGACTTAATCTGTGTAAAAGTCGGTGTGGTTATGGGCTACGAACAGGGTCGCACGCAGCGGGGGAGGGGGTTTCCGATATTAGTAAATGACACACGGAAGTTCGTATCGGAAGTCACCTCCACTATGCCGTATGACGCATTCCGCCACCTCACTGACACAACATATACTTGCCTTGAAAGAGCAGTTCATACCAGGTTGCAGCAATAGAAACTAATTTGAAAAGCAGAACATCCAAGAATATTTTCTATGGCAGTATAAAAAGGTACGTATATTATTGATATACTATTCATAAGTTAAAAGGAGTTTTAGTTTCTGCTCACCAAAGTTGTGAAATATATTGTTTAAATGTTTGGTTAACTTGATAACAAACATAAACATGAGATTAGTTTACGTCCTTATTTATGTCTATATACTAAACAGCACATGTAACAGCTTAATTCACTTTACTCAATTACTCCACTGCCCTTTTAATCGTAGTTTAGTCTGACAACAGACGATTTTACTAAGTATAAGCAAGTCACAGTACAGACAGAAAAAAAGACTATCAAATATCATAATTATGTTTTAATGGCTTAATGCTAACACGATCAGACAAGCTCTGCTAGAAATGCGAAACCAAGAATGGACACAAAACATTCATATTGACCTCAGGACTCACGCAAATTAGATTTTATAATTTGAAATAAAAATGCAACAAATGTTATGGTTGATTGTTATTGGCCACCTTGTGATGGTCAATGATAAATGTAAAGTTTGATTCTGTACTATAGACAGTAATAAAATACATTTTTGCACGCATACATCATGTTTAACAGGTTGTGTTGAAATGAGCAAACACTCAAACAGCAATATAAGTTCCTTCTTTGTGCGATATATATATATATATATATAGCTTTGCATGACAATAGCTTAACTTTTTTTGTGGAAAATACTATATACGTTTATTTGCAATATGAATGCGGACGAGCATACGGAAGTTTTCAAAAGGTTAACAATAAAAAAATTGTTTAAAAAAATTTAATGATAATGGGAAGTTTAATAATATATCCGATTTTAATGTCGTAATGATTTCTCTCAGACATATATAGACATACGGTCGGTTCGCTAATGGGAGTAAACTTAAAGGTTTCGAGTGGTATGCAAATTACACCGAATTAGGAAATAACTTTCTGTTCGGATATATTGGAAGAAATATTGTTTGTGGTTTGGTTCATTTGATATTGCTTGTGACTGGTGATTATCGTTAATAATTATGAGCATTTCTTAACTTTGCTTTGAGATAAACATCAGTGTGCGACTCAACTTGTCTTCGATATATTTATAGAAATTGCTTGGTCAGTTGAAATTTGATACGAAGCGAGCAAGTCGAGCAAATACGAAGGTATTAATTCGCATCACTTTACACAACATCTACTTTCTCAATTATTAAATAAAGACGAAGGCTGAGATAGCATTTTATATTTTGTAACAGTCAAAAAACGTACATCTATTAAATACATTGGCTTGTGTGGCCATTGGTTTGGACTTGTGAACATTTTGAAGATTATTTTCAATTCCAATGAGTGAAATGGCGGTGGAGGCAAAGAACAATGCTGAATCAAATGAAAGCAATGATGATGCAAATTTAAAAGAGGTATTGTCAACTAGAGACATATTATTGTGCCAAAATGATGTTTTTTAGATCGTATACATGTACAATTACACTGTAACACAAGCCAAACACAAGGCATAGTTGTTTACTTTCTATCATAATTATCCAGGCGCAAAATAAATTACAGCATATGGCTGTGCGCAAAATTATCACATTTTGCACATGCGATAATTTTCAGAATATTTGTGCCACAAACTCGCTACTAACTTCCCGAAGCCGTCGCTGGAAACGTTGAAGTTCTCCTTGTATTTTTGAGCTCGTTAAAGAGGCTCGCGTGTGAATGCCCCGAAGGTAAATACTCGAACGACTTCGCCCGGGCAAGTATCCTGCATGCCGCCATATTATGACACGATGCGAGTAAAAAACTAAATTTGACTATTCTACATGTATACTGGTTTATCTTTTGTTATTTCTGTGTTTATACATTTATGTTCCAGGTCATTTTCTCTGCAAACGTTTTTAGTCTTTTTGGTTCAATTGAGCGAGACTAAATGAAACCATTTCCCCCACGACCACACGCAAGCATTGCCACTAAGTGGATGACTTTCGCAAAGCACTTTTCAAATTCGCAACATAAAAAATGACTGGATAAAATTCCGAAGCGCTCTTGTGGATAGAATGGGACTCTACTCCGAGTCAACGACTAAAATCCATCTGTAATTTACAGATGGAGGTGAACCTGCAGTTATCAGAGTGAGGAAATGATGTTCTTTCTTTTTATTACATGTGGTAGTGTTGTATTTGGAGGCAAAAAAGAATTGTGAGATGTAGTTCCAATTTCCTGCCGTCCTACACTAGTGGCGTTGCCAAGGAAGGGCAGGAGGCACTCCCCCGCCCATTTTCTTACCCCAGCTAATGAGGGCTTCGTGCCAAAACACTTTCACCCGCTCCCCCCCCCCCCACAGAGCAGCCAAGATCGCTTGCGAAAAGGGGTGGGGTGCGAAATCTACCAAGGCGTAGCCTGCGTTATATAGTCAAGGCGTTGCTAAGGTATTTTCACACGCCATAACTTGAATGAGTAGGTACAATATCCGATTGCAAACTTGCAGTAGCCAAAAGTCTCGGCTCTTTAAATATCATAAATATTATTCTCAATCTTGGCAAGCGCACCTCCCATAGGACAGGCCCTAACGCTTCAAATTCAACAGGAAAACGAAAACTTATGTCAATATCCTAAAAACCCACCGCGATGGTATAAACGCGGAACTCAACACTTCCTCATGGAGCCAAATCAATATGAAACCAACTTTTGTCCTTTTGATTATTGACCAATGCAAAATTGCTTCAAACATTTCCTCGTCTTTGTAAACATTTTTCGTGAATTTCCGCAACACGACTTCATGGTCGCCAGTACGAAGTTTAGTTGGATACAAAAAAAGTTGATATTTGATGAAAGCGTTTCACATATTTAAAGCTGCAGTATTAAAGTTACATTATTCAACTCTCTCTGATCCGAAAATATTCTGACCATGTCTGGAAGGGGCTTTGTCTAGAGATATAGGTAATTTGTTCCACATATCAGCAGCTATCACCGAAAAAGATCGGCCTCCCTCTTTTTTCCTTCCCACTTAGACAAATGTAAATTTGTTCAGTACACGAAATTTCAAAACAATTGGGCAAGTAGTTTTTGAGGAATATGTATTCAAACAAACCCTTGAGCTATTAATACCAGACCCCTGGCCGTGCGCGATCCCTATCATGTGTGACAATGTAAAGTGAGATAGTACAAAACGAAATTTTGATTCAAAATCTTGAAACCAAAGTGCGCAAAAATATCGCGTTTAATTTAGGGTGCGCGAATTTAAGACTGAGCGAAGGTAATAGTTTTTCATATTTATCAATTTCAGGTCCGGTTCAGCGACGATATTGAAGTGCATTACGTGCCATCTCGAACACTCTGGCAGAAAACTAAAACCAACATCAAATATTCACCACAACAGATTAAAAGGAAAGCCAAGTCTATAAAGGACTCAGTTTCAGACTCATACCATGTCATGGTGGAGCTATTAACGTGATGTCTGAAACATTAGCAGATGCTGGCATTTTTACGAGGGACAAACGCAAGTATAGGTTAATATGCAGGGCTGCAGGTTCCATTCCTGCCACAGAACCAATACTTGCATTTTTGGCAATTGCTCCTGGTTACATTTAATAAGTGTAGAAAATTCACACGTGAAATTTCCATCCACAAAACCCATCACCTACTAAGACTACAACCGTTATATCCCAAGAGAATAGCCATAATATTTCAAGCCTATAAAGCTACCGGGTGGCCAAAAAAAAAGTACTCCTGTTTGATTCGTAATAACATCTAAACAAGTATAGCTTTTAAAGAGAAATAACTTGCATCAAATAGAGGAAGGACTAACTTAGACTTTGATATATTACAGTTGTATTTAACTTAAAAATTCACGGAGATATTAATCTTTAAATTCGGGAGGATATTTCTGGATGTGTCTGAAATATGCAAAAATCGGCGTATCAAATATTAATAAGATTTGCCCGACTGAAACATGCACTATTACCAGTAAATAAATGACACTTGACAAATTGTTTATTATGAAACAAAGTATTATTATATCTACAAAATACAAGCAAGATTCATTCGTCCGAAATTCGTGTGTGTTCCTAGCACGAATACGTTTCCTTATTTCATGAGACCACTGCATCGCGAAGGATCGTCATTGGATCGTTCGTAGTTCTGAATTAGGGCATGCTGTCACAACGGAATTGTGAAGCTCTTCTAACTTCTGCAACGTTCTGAAATCTTGTTAATAACACCCAAACTCTTTTGCCGTTTCTTAATCTTGGCAAGTTCATGGAGTAAACTGAGAATTATATGAAACACAATCAAACCATACAACTCCATAAGACACAACAATTAAGCAACTCCCCAGAGACATGCAACATTTTTGGAACAAAACGTAACAAAATAGTAGCGTTGATACGGTGATGTGTATTTGCAAAAAGCAATATTATTTCCTTCAATAAAGAATATTCATCCTGCTCTAACCGAGAAATAATCTACTCAGTCTGTTTGAACCCATTAAAAACATAAAAAAATTAGGCTATTTAAGAATAAGAAAAATTTAAGCGCCTGCCTTCCATGGTCAGTCTTTCATGTACATTTAAGTTTGTAAAGACCTAATATTAAATACTTGCATAATTTCGAACGTTCATATTTCAGGAAACAATGAGCTAAGACTTACATGTAAGATGTCTAAATCTACGCCATATCCCTTACAAACCTTAACGATAATTCGCTGAAATACAAGTTAGCCTAATATGTCATTAAGCAAACAAACGCTGGAGTTAATATTTGATATGCCGATTTTCGCTAATTTTAGACACATTCCAAAATATGCTCCCCATTTTTAACATTAATATCTCCGTGAATTTTTAAGTTAAATACAACTGTAATATATCAAAATCTAAGTTAGTACTTCCTCTATTTAATGCAAGTTATTTCTCTTTAAAAACTTTACTTGTTTAGAAGTTATTACAAATCAAACAGGAGTACTTTTTTTTGGGCCACCCGGTATATAGTCATATAGTCGACTCATCGTCATAAATTATAACCATACAGTTTAAGACCATATAGTCATATAGTCGACTCCTCATCATGAATTATAACCATACAGTTTAATACTATATAGTCATATACTCCAGGGTGTCCCAAAAAAGTCCACCTTTAGAAATCACTCTTGTGCGTTATTATATCTTTGGGAATTTAATTTAATTGTACATGAACGGTGAAAGTATTTATAATTTCCCTTCGTCCAAATAATTTAATACTTCGGTTTAACAAGGAAAGAGTGATTTCTATAGGGGAACTTTTTGGGGGAGACACTGTGTAATTGCATACAGGTCAGAACTTTCTTTACGTGGGGACTCAGTTCTTTGTTACAGTAGCTTTGCAATTAAATCTTACAATTGAAATTAAATGGAACAAAAATAGTAATTTGCTCAAGTATTTACGAACCAAAACAGTCATCGTTTCATTTGCTTGATTTATGTAACCTTGCTAATACGTATAGCTAACGATGTTTTTTATAAAAATAGAAAACGGTCGCACTATTTGCAAAAATCTAACTAAATCGCTATATATTACCTTTTGTCGTTAATTATACCCGATAGAAAATAGAAATTATTCTCCTATGATTCTGTGCCTCATAACAAAAGACATAATTTATTCTTCTTGCCTTGAGTTCGTTGTTTGTTTGGACGTAAAGTTATGATCGCGCTCGTGTCTTGTTGATCTTTTTTACTCTTTCCGTTTGTCGACTTGCTTTGCGCTGACTGCCCTTGGAACATATCTAATACGAGAAATTGTGTTGAAATATTAGCTATAATAGACGCTTTCTCAGAAAGTAGATGTTAATTTTTTTCAAACTTACCAAGATTTTTTGTCGTGTTCGGTTGTTCATCAGTGTTGGCATTTTGTAAATTCTCCAGATATTTTCGCGCAAGATACTGAAAAACTGAAGACACATATTAATGAAACAATTAATGTCTTTGTCATTGTTAACATAATTTGCAACATTTCTCCAAATTACTATGAAAAGGACTGGGTTAGGGTTACTTTGAAATTTCTGGTTTGGGGATATGTCTTACAACTTAACATTTATATCAAAGTTAATAAAACAAATTTGTATTCATTATTACTCTAAAATACTCAAATTCGAATTTCATTTATTTTGTTAATTTGTTAATAAAGCCATCAATTCTGAATCCTCGATATCTAAGTGGACTACAGTCAGTCTTACCTTCTGTGACATTTAAATCCTCTTTGACCGAGGTTCTGTAAAACTTTACCCTCAATTTCTTAGCGAGTGTTTCTGCCTCATCTCTGGAAAATTACAAAAGCTGGATAAACACTCCTGTTCCTATCAGTAATTCTAGTCTTGGGATATGTCTCACAACTTAACATTTACTTTGGATTGTGTAAAGATGTGTTCTTTGGCAGCAGGGTGCATTAGGGTACAATACAACTTGATGGGTGAACTAGACACATGAGGGCCCCCTATACTTTTTGCGTGAAGGGCTTATTTTACTTAGCCGTGAAACGTGATCAGGCCCCCTATACTTTTTGCGTGAAGCGCTTATTTTACTTAGCCGTGAAACGTGATCGACAATTTTCTTAATCCGTGACTCGTGAAAAGGCAAAATATTTTTACGTGAAAGCATATTGTGAAGAGGTATAGGGGGCCCTCACACATGGACAGATAAACTCATTAACCCATTATCAGCCAGTCCTCTCTTCTTGATGAGTAAAATGATTTGGTGTTAGACAGAGTAAAATAATAATTTAAGTAGAGGGCATTAGGGTGCAATGTAACCTAATGTGTTAACTAGACACATGGGCAGATTAACCCATTGAGATGCCCACTCTCCAGTCTCTCCCTTAACAAGGAAAATGTTCTGTTGTTAGATGAAGTAAAATAGTCTGGCATTAGATAGAGTAAATGACAAAGTAAGGGTGCATTAGGGTGAAATGCAACTTAATGGGTTAATAAAAAATATTGAACATACGGTTGAACGACAGCTTCATCAATGAGATCAATTTTATTTTGTACAAGAACACAAGGTATTGTACCACATTCTTCAGAGACCTATAAATTCAAATAATATTTCAAACAATCTCTCTCTCCAGCATAGTTGATATGCCTGGCAGTTGATATATAAACTTGAACTCCATCTCAAATTTAATACTGTAAATAACACAATTGAAATGAATGTGTGAAGATGGTCATACCTTAGCTATCCACTGTTCTATAGCATCATACGACTCTCTGTCTACAGTTGAAAAACACAACACGCACGCTTGGGCACCTGAAAAACAGTTTCCATTAGTAATGGTTATATTTAACGTAATCTTCTTAGTTTAATTAACAATTGCTTTGCAGGCCTATCACAAAATTCTCCCTTTTAGCCTAAGGCAGGAAAATATAGGCCTGGTATTCAGGTTATCTAAACATGTATTCTGTCATGAGACCAGCTCACAAATATTTTTATGTCAAAGCACTAGTTGAGTGACAACCAGGTCTTTGTATGAGGTTGTGAGATTATAGGTTTAAAATCCTGTATCACACAAAGAAATTGTTTGAGAGGTCCTGACCTCTGTAATATGCCTTAGTGATAGCATCAAACTCCTCTTGTCCTGCCGTATCCCATAACATCAACCTCACATCCTCTGAATCAATACTAGCGGAAAATAAATTAACACAGAATTAACAAAACAATAGTCAAACTTAGTGTGCAGTACTTTCAGTCCTTGAAATAAATCTGGAAGGTATATCAGTCATCATGACCAGTGAATTATTAAATGTCATAGCAGACTCTTCTTACAGTCATCTTTTATTGTGAAGAAAATTCCCATTTTCTTGGCAAGAAAAATATGGTCACTACGCAATTTACACAAAAATACCGTGACATTCACTGACAAAACAATACATATCTGAGCCACAAAGTTTTAATGGCAAAGAATTTTGAGTTGCAAGCATAAGTTTTAGGCACAATGCCTGTGGTGTACAGTGTGCTGCTTTGGCAGGTGAGATATCTGATTTTCTCCCAAATAAACACAGGAAATTGTTGGAAACAAAAATCTGCTTGTCTATGCATTTTTTTCATAAAAAATTTCACCAGTCATGCATGTCCAGTAAGTGATAATATTTGACGGTCAAACTGAAAAAATTACTGGTCAATGACCGACACTTATTTCAAGGGCTGGGTACTTTGCAAATCATGTGTATAACATGATTGAATAAGCATGGGTCCCCTTGCACCCCGTAGTTTGGCAAGCAGTTCATGTTACAATAATAATTATGTATTATGTATAATAACATGACTAAATCAAATCAAAAGTGCTTTTTGTTTGAGCTTAGTATGGGGTAAATTAAGCAACACTCCTATCACATTCTACAATACATGAAACACAGTTTATTGTTTTGTAAATTACACGTTAGAAAAAGAAATAAGTTTCAGGTCAAAATACCACAAATCTATGTTTAGTTTGTCCAGCTATAAATCATGTCTAAGCCTAGTAGTTTAAGCGTTTATTGCCCAGTATTTGGAATAGTAAATAAGGGTTTAGTTAAGTTATTCATGTGGAATTTTATAAGAGATTCTTTGCACATTATATTGAACACAAGCTGTTACAGTATAAACACTCTTTGTATTAGCGAATTTCATATTTAATGCTTCACTTCATGCTTGGAAGCCATTGCTTCTAATTTGTGACATTTTAGTATTCCAAATCCAATTAGAACATAGTACTAAAACATTCCAAAACAAATTAGAACATAGCAAAACATTCTAAAAGATGATTAGAACACCGCAAAAAATTCCAAACGAAAATTAGAACGAAGTTTGAATAATTCAAGTAGGCCGATTATGCGAAGGATACAGATTGCAATTAAATACAATTACCTCACTTGTCTTTCTAAAAAGTCCACCCCGATTGTCTTTTTGTAGTCTTTGGTAAAAATGCCTTTACAGTATCTCTGTATCATGCTGCTCTTCCCGACTGCACCATTGCCAACAACCACGACTTTAATCGCAGTTTCCACGTCTTCTTCTCGCATTTTGAAACAAAATATATTACGAAAGTCTAGCACGACAGCTCGCCTAACAGGAGATTCTCTTGCAACGCAGTTGTATAAATGTCTCAAATTCAAGATGTATACAGCGATAAACAGCCCGATATCAGTTTGTAACTATTTCGAATTTCATAAAATTAAACACCCATTCTTCGAAAATATTACTTGATATTATAAATCCTGAGTAGTTTTAATCAAAGTCTCGATGACAAGATGGATAGTTGAATCCTTGAAATACGATTCAATCTTGACAACGCCGAGACGAAAAGGTCAACCCCTTCTCGAAAATACCTTGATTTTGTTCGTGGTATTTCGCACGTATTTCGCTGCGGAAATGGTGAATAATTCTTCAAAAGAATGTAGTCTTTGAATCTGATTTCTCGCTGAAAATAAACAGTAGTCCAAGCAATATAATTTCACTCTCATTTAAATTGACTTTGTGTTTGTTGTTCATTTGCGACGCCTAAACTGTCCCAAACTGCTTTGCAAAATTCCATAGAAACAAACAGGGGGCGTTGACCTTGTCCAACACAACACGGGACGAGTTGTAGAAGGGTATAGAAGAGGAAAGGGCAAGGATGGGGGGAGGGGTTAGCCAATCTGTTGATAACGGAACTGCGTTCTTGTGAAGAATTCCATGTCGATCTGGAGGCTTGCCTCCCAAATTTTTTTTGCAAATAGCATATAATCATAATCTGTACGTTTTTTGCGACTGGGATTGAAATGATGCAGTAAGGATTTTAGTAATCTGTATTTGACTACTATGATCTTACCATAGATTGTAAAATAACAATTTATTTTATTATCCATGATCTTACCATTAGACCATTTATGTGGTTCCAACATGAAATAGCTTCGCTTTGTCGGAATCTTCTTTTCTTTAATAAAAAACACTAACTGAAGATTACTAACACACAAATTCGTGTTTTACTAAACGAATACAGTTCTTATTTAACTATAAAGTGAGTCCCGCTTTCGAAGCTACAAATTATACACGAAGAGTACACATATAGATCAGTGGACAGAGAGTCTTGCATTGAAGTGAATATCAAACTGCCGGAAATTTGAAGGCAAACTTGAAAGGCAGTCACGCATACGAAGAGCGCTCAATCAGTCGATCATGATTTAAAACGTATGTCTTGGGGTCAGATTTGGCTTTAATTAAGAAAGGATTATATCCATTATCAGTTTCAATCCTCATTCAGTGTCAGAATGTCTTAACGGAGGTTGTATGCATATGTTATGACATTTCAATTTTTATCTGAAAAACAGGGAATCCAGATTCCGGGCAAATAAATTTCCTGGATTCCCAGTTCTCTGTTTTAAAGATAGCCATTCCATTCCATTCCATTCCATTCCATTCCATTCCATTCCAGGGAATCAAATTTCCTGGATTCCCAGTGCCCTGTTTTAAAGATGCCAGTGTGGTATGAGGTGGATATCGACACGGTATTGAATGTCACGTAATTAATGTTTTAATCCAACACAATGCAAATTGCCCGTTTGAAACATGAATCTTATGTAATACTTTACTTTTTATTCAAATTCATTTAATTACCGAAAATACTGGGAAGTTTATTTAGCGAGATAAGCTTAGATATTGGTCCACGTTTAAATCCGCGTTTCTTAGTAATACATACTTGTTTGCAATTTCCTGTTTTCTTGTTAAAGCTGCCAGAGTTTAGCATATATAGCCAGCTCAAAGCAGTTCCAATTATTCGAGCATTCACTTTGATTAATTAAACTCGCTGTTCAATCATGTCAACGTCTGCGAATGCTTTGTTCAAAAGTCAGTTAGAGAAAGCAGAACTTCATTCAGTAACAAGCTGGCATCGTGAGCTGGAAATCGCGAAAGCATTGAAGATGGCTCATGATGATGAGAATAAACACGACGAGGCAATCGCGTTGGAAAAGCTTGGCGATGTTTACAACGCTCGTGCATTACTCGAAGACAACTCAGACACACCGTTTGTTCGCTTGGACCAGTTCGTTCTTGCCACTGCGCTTTACAATTCCAGCTTGATTCGCAGCAACGATTCCACGAAGAAAAACGAGTTAGAAGCAAAGTTACGTCGAATTGAAGAAAACATACTTTCTCACTGTGGTCAGGCCATAAACGCGAGCGAATTTCGACACGATATCGATAGAAACCGCAAGAGCAAACTGGAGGAATTCCGAGAGCAATGCAGCGAGAAACTGAAGTCTGTTCAGAGTAAGTATAGCGTGTTCACTTCTCCACTACACGACAGAGATGCCGAGAGCGAAGCCAGACGAGCAAAAGCAATACGAGAGATTTTCACTGAAATCCGAGAGTTTATGAAAGACGCCGTGGCCCTACTGTTGGACGAATGTATACAAGTACTCGGACAGCCTCCTCAGGACGTCAACTATGCTTTTATCGGTTTTGGATCGTTTGCGAGAAGAGAAGCAACACCGTTCAGTGATTTGGAATCAGCTTTATTGATCGAAGACGGCAAAAATGACGCGTCTGTCAAAGAGTACTTTATGAAATTAATGGAATACTTCAATTACAAGGTATTGAATTTACAGGAAACAATTTTGCCTTCGATGTGTATTCCTTCCTTGAACGATGCAAATAATTTAACAAATTCTCTGCAAAGATACGCGTGTTCAAGTCAGGAATGTGGAGGTGACGCAACAGAATGGCCATTTCTTGGAAAAGGATTTTACGATGACGAAATGTGTGGTTTTTCTGTGGACGGTCGAATGAGCAAGGCTTGCAAAACCCCTCTGGGTCGTCTGGTACTAGGAAGAGGAGAAAATAAAGATCTTATAAAAACACCAACAGAACTGGCCGAACTTTATGTTTCTGCGTTGAAATTTGATGGTTCTCGAGTAGAGAATAATTGTGATTTATCAACTGTTCTGAGTAATGTTTCCTTTCTTTATGGCAACGATCCAGAACTAGTCGACACCTACGATGCCCTTGTTCTTTCTATGACAGGGATCTCCCAAGATGCTTCGAATTTTAACCTTCGTCAGTCATCTGCCATCGTCTGTCTTCAAAATGCTCTCGACCAATTCCAGTTCTCGTTTACGTCGCGAGATATCGGGCTGATTTCGTCAATCAAGAAGAAACTATACCGTGCTGTTGGGATGCTGATAACTAACATTGGTAAATTTCAATATTCTAGTGTGATTGACAACTCTCCGTGGAGCATCTTAGATCGCCTGCTTGAAGATGGTATCATTTCCGCCGACACTCACCGCAATTTGTTTGTCGTTGTTAGTATTGTCAACGAAGTTCGGTTAATGGCTTACTTACGATGTGGTCGACAAGACGAGATCTTTTCCTTCTTCGATCAATCTACTGACATTGATTTCGAACTGGTTAGAGACTTGTGTGTTCGATTCTTCTATACAGTATTTCCATTCCAGAAAAGTGTGAAGAAAATTCTGCTCAAGCTTCAAGCACACGAGAGCGCTACCATTCAGTTCGTGTCAAGTGAAACGTTTTACGAGTATTCCCACTTCAATTCCGCTGTCGCTCTTTCCTTCACGTCGTACCGAAACGTCGAAGTTATGATCGACAAATTTAAGCAAACTTATGAAAGTGCTAAAGATGAAGATTTAAAGCGACTATGCCTGGCATATTTGTCCTGCATCCAACCTGATTACACTGCACAATATTGCGAGAAAATTTTGACCTCCATGGGAGATGGTAACAACAGCGAGTGGAAAATCTTAACATATTTGATCGCTGCCATGGCGTCTTTAAATCAAGATAATGTCACAAACATTGAAACATTCTTGAATGCCGCCCGCGAAGCTAGCGAATCGGACACTGTCACTCCCAATTCTACAATGGAATTAACTGTGCGTGCGTACAATATGCTAATTTCAGGATTTCTGAAATTTCGTCAGGAAAGCTACAATGAAGCTTTGCATGAATTTAATTATGCCCGAATGTTGTACGAGAGAGTCATGAAGTCGAAGGAAAGTGTAGTCAGTCTCTTTGAATGCGGAGCTTTGTTTATGTCAGGAAGCTGTCACATGATGCAGGGGGAATACAAAGACCCCAATGTCGAACTTGCCATGCGCAACATGAGGCACTACACAGGAAATGGTGATTACATGCGCATACTCTACCATGCATACATGTTATGCCAGGAAGGTGCTGAGAACCAGGAAGGATTGATCAAACATATGGAGAAACTTTTGGAACTGTTTCTACGCTTCCGATGCCCCACAGGACAAGAACTTTGGGCTTCTATTATGGCTCAAGGTATTATCTTAGCTGCTTTGTTTCTTGGTCTTCTCTACCGCAATACGGAACGCGTCGATGATGCCCTTCGTATATTCCGCCTGGCTTCTTCTCATTTGATCACGAAAGCGTTGGAACTATGCGGGGACAAGTGTCACGTAGGAAAGATTAAAGCAGAGAAAGCTCGAATGTTTATCGACGCTTTTCGAGCGATCTTCAAGTTCTCTGAAGCGGAGTGTTTACACTTGAAAGATTGCAAAGATGAAATGTGGGTTTGTATAGATGATGCTCTTGGTAAATTGGCTAACTATCGTGGAAAATTTGAGCGAATAGAGGAACGAGATGTATTTACTGATGTTGTTTCTCGTGGAGGATTTCAACTTCGCGCGAGTGGCTTTTTTTCGGTGTATAGTTCCAATGAAAATCGTCAGTATGCAGCCCCACATTTTGCCGACGCTGTGACGATGCCGCTTCTTCTTGAAGGCTGGTGTGATACGCTCACTCGAGGAATGCAGTTCATTTTATACACGACAGAACGAGATGTCGCCGAGCAAATACTTCACCATGGAACCCCAATTATATCTATGATGTTCCCGAATCTTCTCCCGCTGTTTCAAGCGAATCCATGTAACGTGTTACGACCTTGGGTTCCAATCATTCGCCCTGTTGTCGAAGAAATGATCAGCGAGATTTTTTCCAGCGTTAATTCGCAAAGAACGGCTGTGTTGGAACAGGTCGAGACCAATGTTGCTACGTGTCAGCAGTATGCTGTAGAATTCCTTAGCTTATGGAAAAATCTATTTTTCTTCGCTCTTCGATTTTCATTGTGCAACGACTTGCTCGATTCTTTTGGATTTTTGAAAGAATAAACACTGAACCAGAAAACACTGAACATAATCAAACGTTTAATAACAATAGACAATAGTTTAGCTATATATAAAGTTAACATTTCTGTCAGATTCTACTTGTGAAATAGAGTCTCATCTCAGTTCAATATTAAAGGTGATCTACAGTCCGATCTGCGCATGTGCACAGATGAGCCCACTTTTTATGATACAAACCGTTTAACTATGTTTTGAGTTCTTGAAAAGCCTGATTGTTGTTTCTTGATCATTTATTATACTCTAGAAGCTTAAAAATATAAATAGTTGTCGAATAAAGCTCAATATTTTGGACACAAAAATGTAAACAAAGGCTTTTGTTTACATACGGACTGTAGATCACCTTTAAGCATGTTAGTAGTTTATAACCTATTAGTTTATGGTAGTATGACGTATAACTATTAGTATTTTCATAGACAGTCGGAATATAATTCCAAATATAATTAGTGGCAAAACTAGCCATGGCAAATAGGATAAAATACATTTCTAGACTAAAGGTTTGAATAGTATAGTACATTTAATGAACATATACTTACGAATATACTACTGCATATAATGAAAGCACTAGCAGTGTTATGTTATACAGCTAATTAAAAAAATAGTTGTCCTTTGCAAACCTTCAGGTTTAGAGTTTAAGGTTTGGAACCTTTTTTGAATTGGCTGTATTTCTGTGAATTCTCATGAAAACCAGAGTTCTGCGGAGGACGGATCTCGTATATTGGCCACATCTTCCGAGGACTTAACTCGATGTCGGAAAACAAAATCTTCAAAATTTATAACCAGCGGTTTCTCCTGATACAGATCACGTGACAAAGTCATCTCCCTTGATGACGTCAGCAAGCGATCGTCGGCCGAGCGAGACCTGTTGTGGCTTTTAAAACGGCTGGAATGGAACCCTTCACCAAGAAAACAATTTGGATGTACATTAAGTAAGAAGGTTGTACTGTCGCGGTTTGCTGTCGAGGTATTGTTACGCTCTTCCGCCGAAATTTGCCATTTTAATTTTTCAGCATGATAATGCCGATCCAGCGGTGATACAATCGGCGAGAGTCCGGAAAGATTCGGAACAAGCCGGTCGGTCGTCGTCAAGTTAGCTCTGGTGCTTGTGAGGATACTGCTGCTTGAAAAATTCGGAGAATTTAGGGTTGAACCATTTGATAGAGGGCTTCCAGGAACTCTTTTCGATTTTGGCGAGACATTTCTAGAATTGGATTTCAAAGATTTTTGGCTGCTTGTCCGTTTAGGAAATTTTCTTGACGGTGTTTCATTTCCCAGAACTTCCAAAGCATCGCGAGAATTGTAAGGAAGTTTATCATGTCTTGGAAACGTAATTGAACCATTCTTGGAAGTTTGTCTTCTACTCGCCTTTTCTTGCAGCAGGTTCGACCTTCTCTTCTCTTCAACATGAACTGAGGTGGAATTCGTTTTAAACTTCGGTTTTTCGGGCTGTTTTGTGCCTCGAAGTGACTTCATCTCTCTCGTAGATGGTTGTGGTGTCGATAACTCAGGTGATGCTTGTGGCCGGTACGTCGAAAACGAACGACTCTCTTCTGTCTTTGTACGTTGTGATGGAGTTTCTTCGTAGCTTCGCTTGCTGTGGTTCGACGCAGTTGCTAGCTTTGACTTATTCCTCAAGCGGTAATCTTCGTTCTCCTGACTAATAAATTTTCTGGTGCTGTCGACACTCGGCAACCTTCCAGCAAAGTCTTCTCCAAATGCCCGTTCTTTATGAAGCATTTCATTCTCTTTAGAAAATTTCATTTCGATCTCTTCGGTTGTGAATTTTCTGTTTCCATCCTGTCTTTGGTTTCTCTTGCCTTCACTTCTGTCTGGCAGCGAGGCAGCAAAGTCATCCCTAAATGTTTCTGTGTGAAGCAATTCGTCACGAGCTGGCGATCTTCTCGTGATCTCTTCATTATCTTCATCTGAAAAAGTTCTCCTTTCCAATTCGGCTTCTTTCACTAAATCCTCAAGCATCAGGCTTTCTGTTCTTCGATATCCATCCTCCATTCTTAGAAATCCAGGTTCACTTCTCAGATAATCATCATCCTTTCTTAGAAAGTTAGTCTCATTATTACCCTTTCTACGAAATTGAGTATCCTTTCGCGGAAACTCACCAACTTCTGAGCCTAGTTGCATTGAATGTTCAGCTTTAAGATTATTTGAAAACAATACTTGATTTTCCGTATGATGTTGTCGAATTAATTTCCATTCATCCTCTGGTCTGTCATCTTGTGTTGGGTAGTTAGGCTTAGTTTTCGGATTATACAACAATCTGGCTTGTTTTTCAGTGCGAGATTTGTTGGTTTGTTTTTTCATCAGACATTCTTCAAGTATTTTCCTATCATCTTCCAACTTCTCATTCCCTCTCTCCAATCTCCCGATAGTTTCTTCATATTTGATCAGATCCAACATGAGTTCCGAGTGCTCAGCCATATTTAGATCATGCTTCTTCACCAAGCCGTCCCGTTCATCTCGTAGTCTTTCCACCATGTCTAGAGTTTTATCCAAACTTCTCTTCAAACATTCACATTCGTCATGAAAAACATCAACACAGTTTGTCAAAGTTTCTATTTCCGCTCGTAAACGTTGGCTTTCGTTCCTTTCAAGCAACAGGTCAATATCGTGTTCGTATTTCAATAATTCCAAACTCTCTTCGCCTCCTATCTCTTTATACTTTCCATCAGAAAACAAACTCTCCGGAGAGCCTCCTTGAAACTGACTGTTAAATTCGACATCATCAAATCCTGCATATTCATCCTCCAATACTTCATGTCTCATTCCCCAAGGTGTCTCTGATCCATGCTTGTATTTTCCATCCTTTTGAAATGATCGTTTTGTTTCTTTTCCAATTTTTAAAACATCTTCGTCGTTATCTGCGTAAAGGAGAAATAAAGTCTTAACAACGATACATACAAGAAGCCGCTGATAACTCGTTGTCAGAACGATACTTTATTTTCATCTACAAACAATGCAACCTGAAGGGGCTTTCCTAATGACCTACATTTAGTGATTTGCCTATGTTAATTTTTACTATATTACTAAGGGTTAGGGTAAAACATTGTAGATAGACTTTTCTTTTCACTTTGTAGTTGTTGAAAGCCACAGGAATACGACATGAAATAAACAATTCTGGTCAGAGAGTAAAAATATTTTTGATTGGCAACTGACAACGCGGTAAAAGAAAGTGTTTTGAAAAGAATTATACCTGAATGCACTTCTTCTCTATATTTGAAATCGTCTGATGGATAATAATTGATTTCTTCGTATTGACCTCTTTCACTGGTGGCTTCCATTCTGGTGCCTTCAGTTGCTTTCCTATCCACGTCCACTCCTCCATACCCTCTGATATCATCAGGATTCTCATATGTACCCCTTGCCTGTGCTGCGGGTACATTATCACGACCCAGTCTTTCATATCCATAGACATCACCATGGTCTGTATGCTCTTCAAGTAATTTATCCCAGTTTATCCCTGCATGACTTCTCATGTCTATCAACTTCCCTTTTGCATCTTCTGTCCACCCTTTATGTAGACTATCCCTGTCTACTCCTTCACGCCCTATGATGTCAATCCGTTCCTTCGGTAGATTATCCATGTCTACTCCTCCATACCCTCTGATATCAATCGGTTCCTTGGGTACATTATCCCTGTTTACTCCTCTATACCCTCGAAATTGCCACGGTTTCTCGTTTGAATCCTCTTCTTTATATTCATGGATCAACATTTCAAGACTATCGACACTCTTCATTTCTCCTTTTCCCAGAGAACTATCCTCCAAAATTTTCTCGTTCTCAAAAGCAGCTGTCATTTCTCGGATTTCATCGAGTAGATTTCTCTCTCGTTCCGAGAATTCTTGCTTTTGATTTGATATATCAAACTCCAAACCCTCTCTCGATTTTTCCAATAACTCTAGAGAATTTCTAAGATCTGAAATGCGATTTTCTTTCTCTCGTATAACTTCTTTCAAAATTACGATTTCTTCTTCATATTTCCTAGAATTCTCTTTCAACATATTTTCAGTTTCTTCTAATTTTGCTTGAACGTCCTTAGTTTCTAGGAATTTAGACTGAACAACATTCTCGGATTCCTGGAATTTAGTCTGAAGATTTTCAGATTCCTTTTGAATGTTTTGCAATATTTCCAGCTGGTCTTTCACGTCGTTGTTTTCCTGAATCAACATCTTTATTTCATTCTGCATCAGCTTGATTTCATTTTCATATTTTGTTTTCTGCTCCAAAGTTCTCACTTTCAATTGCTCGTATTGTGCTGCGCCTGAAAAAGGGAAATAAAAGTTGGGTTTATGTTGAATTCTTCAAATACAGAAACAGAGAACAGGCAAGTCCAAGCTGTGAGTTTTATAATAGAACTTCTTTAAAACGTTGTTAGGGTGAATAGCCTAATCTCAACTAATTTTATTTCTATTGGACGTACACTAAGGGCCATTCCTTATAACTAACTTTATTTATACTGGATATAGCCCTATCAGTACGTCCTGAACTGTTCTCCCTAGAGGTCCAGTGAGAGCCACATCTCGTGATGACCAGTGTTACTATGGGAGGAAACCTAAACTATAGCTCTATCAGTTCTTATGGTCATAACAGAATACCCAGAGAAAACCTGCCGTGTTTAGTAAAGTCAAACTGAAACAACTCTTGTCACATGCGACTGAGGCAAAACTTTAAATCAAACAAATGTAGGCATTAAGTACAGTGCCTTTCGTGAAAAAGAGTTTGAATGTTGTACACTTAACCTACCTTCATCACGTTTTTCTTTCAAGTTTTGGACTTGTTGCTGGATTTTCTCGTTTTCAATCATCAATTGCAAATTCTCGTCATCTTTTCGTGAGATCTCAGTTTTATAAAACGTTTCTTGCTCATCAAATAAACTTTCAAAATCTTGGTTATTTGGCAACTCTGATGAACTGTCCTGTGTTTTCTCATCTTCTTGTCTTAGTTGAAACTCTGGAGAGTTCAATGTCTTCATTTGGTCATCTTTCACTTCCTCTCCTAGATAATAATAATCAATTTTAATAATCATAATAATTTATTGTATTTTGGTCCAAACTATGTTTGTAGTGTTTGCACAAAATTCTCATCAACAAAAGTTCGGCAACATTCAGACTTGCAAAAATTTTGTACACCCTTTTAGTAAGATATGAAAAACTGGTAAAAGAGTTTAACATTCAAGGCCCATTTCCACTGGCAACTTTAGAGTAGATTTTCATCTTGTGATGGATGTGAATGAGTGGATGAGATATGAATGTTCAGATGAGAGTTTATATACTCAGAACATTCATGACTCATCTACTCATTCACATCCATCAGAAGCAGAAAATCGCACTAGAGAAATGAGAGTATAAACAGGCCTTCAAAAATTCTTTCAAAGGACACAAACTAAATTTCATTGTCATCATACCCCTCAACGTTCCTAAAACACCCCAGCACTATTACCTTTCGTGTCTGGTATATCCTGTGAAGTCTCATTCTCATTCACGTCAAACGTCTTCGCTAATTTTGAAATCTCCAAGCTCCTCTTCCTTTCTTCTCTAATTTCATCTTCTGCGTTCGCTAACTTTGCTTTCAAGCTTTCACCTTCTTTGATCTGTTCTTGTAAAGCTTTCTCCGTCTTTTCAAGATCTCTGTAGACATTTTGAACTTTCTTTTTGCAATCGAGTTGGATCTTATCGACTAAAGCTTTTGTCTTAAGTAAGATCTCTTCGCTTTTCTCGCGATCTTCGCAATTTGGACACAACGTTGTTTCAAATTTATCTTCGGCCTCTTCCTCCAATTCCTGGACTTTCTTTTTGTATTTTGCCAGTTCATTTTCCAGTTGTTGTGATCTATCGCTTGCGTCTGCGCTGAAATCAAACTCCTCTACATCCAAACTTTGTGGTGATGGCGATTTCAAGAGCAAATTAGCAATCTCGAGTTCACGGCTACGACTTGTTTCCTCTAATTCTGAAATGGTCGCTTTGTGTTTTTGTAATTCTTCATTGAGCTTGGAATTTTCTTCTTTGAGGCTAGAAACATCTTTTCTAAATCTCAAAGCTTCTTCTTCGCTGTTTTTCTTTAGTTTTAACTCGCTTTCAAGCGCGTTCACCTCCTCTTCAAAGTTTCGTGTAATTTGCAAGATCTTTGCGTCGTAGTTCGACTTCAGTTCGCTGGCTAGACTTTCATCTTCTTTCAACTTTTCTTGAAGTGAACGTATTTCTGATCTTGAATCGACAAGCTGTAGTTGCAAGGACTGTTTCTCAACCGTCATCTCGTGTAGTTTGCTTTCTAATTCTTCGTGTCCATCGTTCTTTTTACCGTCGTTTATTTTATCACCCAATTCTTGCGTCTCATTCTGTTCCTTCTGCAACTCTTGTTGTGAATTTTCTTTCATTTGTGATTCTGTAGTTTGCTCCAAAGTTTCTTCCAAAGCGAGTTTTTCTTGCGAAATTTCACGCAGTTTGTCTAACTCTTTATATTCTACATCTTTCTCTTCTAATCTGAAATAGCACAATTTAGCTGTTTAGTAATAATTCTAAGTAACAAAAATAAGTAAGTTTGTGAGTAAGTAAGTGAGTGGGGTGTAATCATCCTTACTTGCAGCTGAGAGCTAAGCTGAATTACAAAGGACGCAGCTCAACCTGATTGAGTGAAAGGCTTTCTAAGGACGCCTCTGGCAGCTACCTCATGACTCATGTCTGATCATGGTAATGAAAGAATCGCCCCGTCAACATTTCCTGAGGGGGAAAGGGCCATCATTTCATAATTTGGAAATACATTTTGTACAGTAACTCAATCTCGTTCCCCGAGCCTGAGATCCTCGGGAAGGAACGTGAGGCTCTGGGATAATCCATTGCCGGAAGCCAGGAATCCTGGCTAAGATTGAACTATAATTGAACTACGCATTCCATTTCAACGGCCAATCAGATTCCTCCCTGAAACGGATTATCCCAGAGCCTCACGCTCCTTCCCGAGGATCGCAGGCTCAGGGAACGAGATTGTACAGTAACTATACTAGCTAGTCTCCATAATTCACGGCTTTCGTGAAAACTAAATGTATTTCTCATGAAAAGGTTGTTGACTCACTTCTTCATTTCTTGTTCTTTCATCGCAAGTTCTTTTCTAAGCGCTTCAACATTCAATTTCTCAGATTTAAGATCTTCGTTTAGCTTCTTTTCCAAAGAATCTTTTTCCTCAGTAACTTTTTGTAACCTTTCCTGTAGCTCGTCAAACTTGCTTTGCGAATCTTTCTCATTTTCCTCCATCTCGCGAATAACCTCAGATTTTTTTGCCAATTCTTCTTGGAGATCTATCGTCTCTTTGGCCATCGATTCTGAGGATGCTTTAACCTGGGACAACAAGATAGATAGTTTAGATCAATACTTTATAAAATCAACTACTTACTGGCCGCCTGAAGACCGAATTGCATATTTACAAGTTAGAATAGAATTAATAATAATGAAAATTGACAATAAGATATACAATAAATATTAATCTGTTTAAAACATAGCACATCATATGAACAACTACACTGCTATAAATTCAGTGAATGTAGACATTATATTTAACACAAGAAGACACGATGAAAGTAGAGGCTAGAATAACGGACTAAATTACAATGTGGCAGACCAAATGCCAAATTTGTCGGACATTTTGTCCGGACAAAAGCATGCAATCAGTTTCCGTAAAAGAATAACCACAAACTATGTCTGATCATCCCCCAAAGAATACACACGATTGTTAAATTTAAGATAATTTAATCGATACTGTGCAGTGTTTAAAGTATTTAAAACATTCCCCTACCTTTTCTTCTAAGCTGTATTTCTCATTTAAACACTGCTTATATTTTTCCTCCAACGTTTTGAAATCTTCCTTATTTTGTTCAAATTCTTGAATCATCTTTGTTTTCCCCTCAACTTCTCTCAGAAGTTCTGCCACTTTTCTTTTCTCAGATTCGACGTTTTCCTTGAGTCCTGCCTCTCGCAGCTCGTGCTCTTGATTGCGCTCGTGTAGTTCTTCCAGTTGAACGAGAATTTCTGCGACTTGTTTTTCGTATTTCGTTTTCAAAGTGGATGTACTCTCGTGGACTTCTTCTTTGGTTTTCTCCAAGTCTTTTTCGTACTGTTCACGCAGGTGACATTCCACCTGGTTCACTTTACGATCCATCTCATCCTACAATTAGAGACAAGAGGCGCCCATTACTAGGGGTAGAAAAAGTATCGAACTATGAGACCATTGGTTCCAGAAAATTTTTTGAGTTCCCAGAGAATATTTCCCCAAGAAAAAAATTGTAATAATTTAGATAAAAGGAGAAATTCAGAGGAAAATTCACACCATGCATGACCTCAGAAATGCAATTATAAGTGCATCCATCTTAATAGTGCGATAGTGTATAAATGTATTAGACTATAGAATGATGTAACAAATGTTGTATGGCAAGTGCATTTTCAGCCAATCTAGGATACCTAATTTCAAACTTGTTAGTGTCCCACAGTTACAATCCAAGTGTCGATTTACTTGATTATTTGCAGAAAATTTTCAATGCTCTCTTGCGGTCCCAGAAAGTAAAATATTTTTTCCACCCCTGCCCATTACATACGTAAAAATCTTAACAGGCTTGTAAACAAGTTGTAACAATGCTGTTATTTTATTAAGTTGCTACAAGGTTGTCACTCACAACTTGTGGACAAGCTGGGAACAAGCAGTGCGAACACATCCTGTTGACAAGTTGTGGGAACAGCATTGCTACAAGTCTGCTGCAGATTTGTTACAACTTGTACGTTTTTACATGTGTACCCTGTTTACTGTCGAGTTGCGTGCTTGATTTACACAGTACAACTCAAGTTATAATTTTTGCACCCTGTATGGCATTATATAACTCAGTGTTTTACCTGATATTTTGATTTCAATTCTTTCCTCATTTCCTCCACAATATCGTTGTATTTCTTCTCCAGTTCATTCGTTAAACTTTCCATCTCACGTTCATGTTGTTTTTTCAATGTTTTTATTTCCTCCTGCGCGCCGCTCAGTCGAGACTCAACTTCGTCTCGCTCGGAAGACAACTGCTTTTCTAATTTCTTTATTCTACTGAAACTCTCATTCTCTTTTTGAGATTTCTCATTGGCCAGCTCTTTCTCGTTCATTTCCCACAATGCTTCGCGCTCGAGTAGCTCCTTAATGCGTTGTTTGTGTTCAGCGGTCTCACGTTGATACGAGTTTTTCATGTTTTTCAACTGATCTTCAGCGTCCAAGGTCACTCTTTCAATGGCTTCCTGACACTGCGTCCACTGTTCTCGCTGCACAGCGGATACTTGCTCGTCAAATTCCCGCTTCTGTTTTGTGAACTCTAGTTCCCAATCTTCTTCAAGTTTCGCAATTTTCTCGTCCATATCGTTCTGATAGTGGTCTTGAAGTTCGTCGGAAATTTTTAAAACCTGAAATGAACAACAAACATTCAGCGAAAAGTCTGACTGAAGTGGGATGGAACTTCATTGTAACGCTTAACTATTTTGATTGAGTCCTAAACTGTTCCCCTAAAGTTCCAGTAAAAGCCCAGTGTTACTAGACTTACTACAGGAGGAAACCTAAATTAAACTAACTTTATTGCACTGGATAACTCTATCAGTTCTAAACTGTTCTTCCTAGAGGTCCAGTAAGGATCATCTCTTAATCATCCAATGTTACTACAGGAGGAAACCTAAACTAAACTAACTTTATTGTACCGGATAACAACCACTTCACGTTTTCCGTTTATATTTATTGCAAATGTAGCATAAAATATGTGAAATTCACCTGTTTTTGATATTCGTCTTGTAAAGCATTTCGAAGTTCTTCCATTTCTCGTTCATGTTGTAGTTGTGAATTCACAAAATCATCATTTGCATTCCCCCCGAAATCAACCTTGTTGTTATGCTCGCCTTGTTCTGAACTCAAAGCATCATTTTTCAAACTTTCCCCGACATTAATGTCAGCCAAGCTATTTTCAATCTGGACTCTTGAACCATCAGTTTTCAAATCGTCTTGGATGTCGGGCAACTTATTTTCAACATCTTTACACTCTTTTGAAGTCAAACCATCTTCTACGACTTTCTGCGAGGTCAAACTACTGTCATCGACATGGTTCTCAACTGCCCTTTCTGGATTTTCTTCCATTTCATTGTCACGTTGCGTTTTCAAAGAATTGTTATTAACATCTTTTCCGAGATAAGTCAAATTGCTTTCAATGTCCAGCCATTCTATTGACCTCGCATCATCATCTTCCGAGATTGTCTGCGAGTTTGAAGTAGTTGAGTGTTCAATCACAAGTGTTTCAAATGTTATTGTGGGATTTTGTTCCATTTCCTTGTCATGTTTTAACTGAATGTTCACACAATCATCATCGTTTCCAATGTCAGCCCTGTTGTTTTCAATAATCTCGCCATTTCTTGAAGTTAAACCAACGTTTTTCAAACCATCTTTGATATTCTCAACATTGTTGTTTTCAATATCTTCACAGACGTTTGTGAGTCTCACGCCATTTGCTATCTCTGTCAGCGAGTTCAGAGTACTTGTATCATCGGCATGGTTTTCAAATACCATTCCAGAATTTTCTTCCATTCCATTGTCGCGCATGCTCACAATATCATTCTTTGAATCTTTTCCAAGAAAAGCCACGTTGCTTTCAATTTGCACCCATTGTATTGACCTCACAGCACCATCATCTTCATGGATATCAATTATGTCTGCATTGTTGTTTTCTCTTGAACTAAAACCATCTTCTACGCTTGCCTGCGAGCTAGAAGCAGTCGAGCCCTCGACCAAAAAGTCCTTGTCGTGTCCTGGTTGCATGTTTAGACCGGAATTTTTGAAATCTTCTTCGATATGAATCATGTCCACCAAGTTGTTTTCATTTCGTCCACATTCTCTTGAAGTCAAAGCATCTTCTACAATTGTCTGCGAGTTTGAAGAACTTGTATCATCAACATGGTTTTCAAATGTACTTCTTGGATTCTGATCCATTTTGTTTTTCTGTTCACTGAGGTCTTCAGCAGACATCATATTTTCTTGTATGCTGTCACCTTCCTGTAGAAACAAAACATTCTGGTAAGGTGTCTCGATAATCTAAACGCGCAAAATCGCACAACGCGTCGGTGGCGCAGTCCTAAGACCAATCGTCTTGCGACTGCGATCAGATCGTGCTGTTTTACCAAGGATGTTTTACCAAGGATGTTTTACCAAGGATGGTATTTCTATTCCCGTGAGATCTTCCCTAGCTGGGCTGGCTCATGTCTCATCTCATCTTGAATTTTATATGCGTTAACACAGGGCATGCAAATGAGTTTCCTGAGCTCATATGAAAGTTTACATCAAGTAAACATGTATCGGTTTTCGCAGGCTCTGATATTAGCCATGCAACCACGCAACTCACATTCGTTTACTTTGGCAACCGAAATATGTCAACATTTAAGTAATATAATATATTCAATCCCAAATACTTTCAAACTTTCCTCAGTATCTTTACGTTTTCGTACGGACAAATGTATTATTTCAGAAACGTTTTGTGTTCAAGCAATTTATTTCATATATCTTGAAGCATTCGGCATATTGAAAACATTTGCAGAAGGATCGTCAAGAGATTACAGGGGGATTACTTTGGCTGAACAAACTCAATGGGTAATGTATAACATATGCCGTTGCTATGGTAACACCAAAGAGGGCACACTTTTAATGTGGCGATACAGCATTTTGATCAGCGGCAAACTTAACTTAAATGAAAAAGATTAAAACACGTTCAGCCTCAAACTGGTCGTCTTCAGGTAGTTGGGACTTGGGAATAGAAACCACAGCAACTTATATTTGGTTCTATGTGGCCTATAAGCCTATAAGCATAAGGAACTTTTCCGATTTTTTATAAAATTACAACTTGTTCAGACCTTATTGTAATAGGAGAATATATGTAAACACAACTGCCAACTAACAAACTTTATAAACACATCAAAGGTTCTCTTTGTCCATCGAGGAAATCTCGCGTTGCCCAGGTTGCTATCTGCAGCGCTTTGCTAAAAATGGACCTAAATCTTAAATTTTCATGCTCAAATAAGTCTATAACGAAAATTTCACTGGAACATTTAAGTTTTGGGCATATATGTTTTCACTGCCGCAAGCAAATTCTACTCAATAGCGTTGCAACTGACTGCCCAAACAACGTTAAATTTTCGGTCTAGACAATTTTCAGCATGACGATTTCAATTCTGGAGTTCATTTCTCCAAATGTGAAGATGAAAAATTGATAACGCTAAACTCCGAGAATTAATCAATCTTGTCATATACTTGGCTTTGTCGCCAAACGGGACAGCTCTGTTCTATATATAGATATATTATATTTCTACAATATTGAAACTTTAGTTTTTAGCTTCGGTCACAAGGGCGACCAATTCGAAACAGCATTCAAATTTGAACGGGTCTGCCTGTGAAAATGATACAAAACTCCTGAATTGAATTCTCGTTTGAATAAACGGGACCGAATTTGTGTATGATTTCCAATTCAAGCGATCAATAGACTGCGTTTACACTATACGAGATAAGTTTCTGTAGTGATGTGAAAAACAACTATCCGTACCTTGCAGGAACGTTATTTTCAGAGGAATTATTGCAACGGAGAGATGTTGTTTTGCTCAGCTTCTGAAAGTTGTACATTCCGTATCGGATAGGTGTTTTTTCGAGGCGCTATAAGGAAAGTTATCCGGTAAACTTATAGTCTTGTATAGTTACCTTTGTAAATTGTTCATCTGCTTGGACGTCTGTCATTTGAAGCCTTGACGAGGAAAGTTGTAAAGCCGCCAATATTTCCCCAGCACGTTCAAAACGCTTTCATTTTCTCCACAAAGACAGTTCAACAAAGCAAGTTAATCCTCGCCTCATGCAAAATGTAAATGAGTCAACTAATATTTGAACAACAACAGACTCAATACTTCACCAATATCACATAAATTAAACTCTGAATGGATCAATTTTTGCGTATTAGATCGCTCTTAGAGACTTCACGTCAGGAGTTGCCAAAACTTGGCTAGTCTAAACAAATCTAACATAATATCCGACGCATTGTAGCGAAATATATTTATGACAAAATATATTCATGACAAAATATATTCAACATAAATCAATTTATATTAAATTCAGTATACAAACGTTTTTTTTCCCGATACAGAAGAGAAAAACACGAGGTTTAAAGTCGAATATTGTCAATGTCTACCATAATCAATGTAATTCTATTAGTTTAAACCTGAAAACATGAATGAAAATATTCGAAAATCAAAATAAAATATCATTTTACATATTTCGTCTGCCATTTCGTTTGATTCAATTAGCCAAATTTTGCTTAATAAAAAATATGGCCACGTCATACAATAGGCTTTAAAAAGATTTTAATATTTTTCACTTCAGATACAAACAACTGCAGCTTGAAATGTCAATAATAATTTTAATTTAAAAGTCTAGAAATCCCGCGCAGAGTTTAGATACTACCAGTAACAGTATAAAGTTCATGACGGTCAGGAAAATTAAACATTTTCGTGACACGATTGGCCCGCTCTAATGCTACCTGTCACTCGCTTTCAAAAGATGTATATATATAAACTGACAAGTTCTTGTCCTCACGCAGTGTATACTAGCAACAAAAACCGCGGTAGCCATGTTTAGGTAGTTTTAGCGTGGTGAAAATCTATGTTCAACTTATCTCCAATTCGTCACCAATCCTCCGTCACGCGACTAGTGTACCTGGGCTTGCAGTAACAGAATCCAGCGGTTGCCACCTTGATTCTTCCAGTTCCAAGTACAAAGACTAAAAAGTAATAGACATTGTTCCAGTGTTACTACAGGAGGAAACTTAATAAACCTAAACTTTACTTATACTGGATAGTTCTATCAGTTCTAAACTGTTCTTCCTAGAGGTCCAGTAAGGATCATCTCTTATTGATCCAGTGTTACTACAGGAGGAAACCTAAACCTAAACTTTACTTATACTGGATAGCTGTATCAGTTATTGGTCAGAGAAAGAGACAGGTGCAGCAATGAACCACTGTGGCATTAGCAACATCCAGTTGCAAACTATAATATGAGAAACGCTTACCTCTTCACGAGCAATCATCTCTTTATTCTGAGCAGCTACATCAATCTCTTCATCTGGTTCTGAAAATATGCATGTTTTTTAAACAGTGTTTAAACAACCCAATTTCCGCTTTTGGATTTTACATTGTACAGTAAATAGTGGTTAACGCGCATTATCAGAGTGAAAAAATAATGTGAATTCTTTTCTAGTATAGATAATAATAGTACAGTATGGTTTTGAGAGCTGTTTGCAGAATAAATGGAACTTCAGTTAAAGGCAAGATTTGATTACTACGACACGACGTTCAAAGTACATCAAATAATTTACCTTCCAGCATTTGGTCTGCAGTATCTTCTTCATATGTCTGCAAACATAAAAAATATATTTTAATTGAAGAGAATAAGAAGATGAAGCTCTAATCTATTTCTGGAGGTAGTAGTTTACAGAGACTGCTGTTCTCGTATTTGGGGTCAACCAAAATATATTCAGTGCACTTTAATTTCACAAGTTTGAGAAGTGTAAAAACTTACATCAGTCACATTGCTGCCAGCATTCTTTATTCATTCATTATAATAAAAAAAGATGAAATAAAAATATGTTAGACTTTCATGTGATAGGCCTTGCACAGTCAGCGAAAAGCAGGCAAAATATTGACCTCCCCTCCTAACAAGTCTACTTATTAAGCCCCCCTTCCTGGCGGAGGTGAATACAATAAACAACATTGAAACGTCTTCACACTCACCGGTTGCTCGTATTGTTCATATGTTTGAGCGTATTGTGTGTAATTTGGATAATACTGAGCAGCTGCAGCAGCTTGTTGTTGATAACTGGCTTGCCAAGCAGCATAATATTGTTGATATTGTTGATACTGTTGCAGATATTGTTGGCCAGCGGTAGGATATGTTGCGTTGTTACTTGCTGCCGGTGCAGTAGTTACCCTACAAACAGAGACATGTGAGGTTCACTATTAAGCAGGGTCTAAGGGACTGCAATTCAACAATTGGTCAACAAGTTGTGAGTGACAACCTTGTAGCAACTCGATAAAATGACAGCATTGTTACAACTTGTTGACAAGCTTGCTACAAGCCTGTTGCAAACACATCTTGTTGACAAGTTGTGAGATTTTTACGTGTATTTAACACTAAACACTTTCCCCTCAATAAATAAAGCTGTCTTACCACAGGAGGCCCAGGCTCGATTTGCCCGCGCCCGCCTGTGCCTTCCTTATAACGAGGGAAGGACGGAGACATTGAGACCAAAATAGCCCAGACTTGGCATATGTCACACAAAACTATCCTCGATTTTTCGCTTTTAATGCATTTCCTTCACGATTAATCAATATCCCCTGCAAGAATGATACCGTATAACTCTCAAAACAACGATGCTTTAATCAAAGAGCTTAAATTCGCTCTGAAATCCGTGAGGGAATAACAAAATTCGGCCAAAATATATCCGCGTGCCCGGTTTTCTGTGCAAAAAGCGGAAGTCGTTGAACAACTCAAAAACACTCAACCCTGATTGGACAACGAATTTCAACAAACATTTCAAATTTTTTTAACAAACACAATGTGAAATACAATTTATTATACATATTAACGTACTACAGTTTTATATACTTGCAGTAATATTTACACTTTATAACGTTTGTGAATAGTTTTGATTGTATGATTGAAATTATAACAGTACTGTTAAAAAAAATTGAAATGTTTGTTGAAATTCGTTGTCCAATCAGGGTTGAGTGTTTTTGAGTTGTTCAACGACTTCCGCTTTTTGCACAGCAAACCGGGCACGCGGATATATTTTGGCCGAATTTATTCCCTCACGGATTTCAGAGCGAATTTAAGCTCTTTGATTAAAGCATCGTTGTTTTGAGAGTTATACGGTATCATTCTTGCAGGGGATATCGATTAATCGTGAAGGAAATGCATTAAAAGCGAAAAATCGAGGATAGTTTCGTGTGACATATGCCAAATCTGGGCTATTTTGGTCTCAATGTCTCCGTCCTTCCCTCGTTATAAGGAAGGCACAGGCGGGCGCGGGCAAATCGAGCCTGGGCCTCCTGTGATATTATACGCGATGCTAGCTTTCATTCAACATTATTTCCATATTCTTTCCATGACATGTATATGATTTAACGATTGCTTAAATTTGGTATGTGGTTGACAAATGCTTTTTGCCTATGGTCTGCATGGACAATGACATGCTTTTCTGTGTATATAAATGAATATAACGCAGCGAATGCGCCAAACAGTATAAACGCGGCTGAAATACGATATTAAAATCTTAAATGTGCCGTATGATTTAATTATGTTTTAGGATTTACAAATGCTTTGTCATTTGTATTTATACTTGTACTGCATCACAAGGCAGTACGCACTGTAAGCGAAAAAACTCCACATGTGAGATTGTCTTGTATATATTTTTGCTTTCTTTGATAAACACTATTAAACACTCAAATTTTAATTAGTGAGACGCAATGTTAAATGTCACCTGCATGTCATTGTCATTGCCCTTTAACCCCTGGTCTAATTGGCCGCTTTTGAAAATATTGATCATGACGAACAGCACTGCGTTTTAAAAACGGGTTAGGATAAAACGCGGATACGGACGGACGGATGAATGACGGACGGACCGGACGGATGACATATATATGTCGTTATATAGTCTGCGCGCAGCCGCGCAGGGTAGTTAGTGCCTTACGTCTTCGCCGGTTGTTATACTTTAAAATAATTTTGTATGTACCGAGAAATCAATATTCCGAGTATATAAATATATAAACTGGGATGTCACACTGATTGCTTGTTTACATTTCCTGGAGCATCATGAAATCTTATGTTTAACCACGGTGGTTTAACCCATTAGCTGGCAATGCGCCCTTCCCTTGTCGAGCGCCAGAAGATTTTACTCGTCAGTGGTATAGGGTACTGCCAGTAAATGGGTTAACAAACCTATCTGCCAATGGCTCTTGTTAATAGTAATGACCCCTACTTTAGTATTTACTCTGTCCAACGCCAGACGATTTTTAATACTCAGTCAGTGGTAGGGTACTGTCAATAAATGGGTTAACAAGGATAACTATAATTAGCCTGCATGGCAGGCGGTATTTCCCAGGCTTGCCCAATTTTAGGAACCGCCTGCCATGCAGGCTAAACAATAATAGGATGTTTCTGAAGGACTCGTTCAACACCCTGTAGTTTGTCTTTTGCTGTCAAAGGCAGCATTACTGCCCTGTGGGTAACCTAGTTCTTTATATCGACTTAAAATACAAAATTTTGGCACACTCATTGCCAGCTTCGTGTTAACCGCGCTGACGAAAACAATAGAAAGGGACTACTAGAACTGAAGTCCAATAGCTTTTCAATTTCCGCTATCTTGCCTTTACTTTTTAAATTTGGATTCTAGTTATGGATATCGTCCCAAATATATGCATGGATCCCACTGTTGTAGCTAAGTTCCTGATTTTTCCACAGATATTTATTACTTAGCGTCGAACATTCACCCTGAGAGTTGGTCTGATAGAACCGATGTAAAATAAATTCAGTCTCTCTCACCCAATGAAAAGGCACAACACTGACTCTACTAGAGGATTTTAAATATCTTTACGATGCTTACTAATGATTAGCTGTGTAAACAACGAGCCACAACAAACCACAACCAGCCACAACGACCCCAAAACGATCCACAACCGGCCACAACGATCCGACAACAAGCCATGCACAACAACTCAGAACGATCCACAACAATCCAACAGAAACCCGCAAGAAGACACAACGAGGCAACAATAATCCCTCAACGATCCAGAACGCGACACAACAATTAATCCCAGTATCGCACAACAACCGCAAAACAACCCATGACAAATCGCTGAACTGGATACCACAATCTTGGAAAAAATATCTGTAGACTTTTCGAAAAATACACCCAAATTTAAAGACATGTGAAGAAAATCTGAGCATTTTTCAATGAAAGCAACTATTTACCTTAAATCCCCCTCTCTCCCCAGAAATAATGTTGATTCAAGTAAAGTGGATTTGTATAACACATATTACCTAAATACCAACATTGTATAAGGGGGGAGGGGGACAAAGTTTGAAAATTTAAGAAGTCTAGTAATTTTTTTCCAGAATTGTCTCTAAATTAAGCCAAAACCTTAAGGCATGGAAATTAAATTTTTTGGACTTATAAAATTTTCGACTATATTATGTTTTTATCAAAGTGAAATGGCACAAATGTTAGTAGAAACAGCCCTAAAAACAATTTCACGGGGGTGGGGGAATTTCAGGGAATAGGCGCATATTGCTGCCCACAGTTCGAGTTATCCTGCAGTTTCATTGAATTTGGACCCGATCCTAGATGTGATTATACTTTTGAATGTATAGTAAATTTAAAACCAGCTTCAACTTAGAATCCTGCAAGTTTAACACCATGTTCAAAATGTTTTGCTTAGTGTTTGCTCGCGGAAAATAAGCGAATTTCATAGAATACGTATAACTGTCTGATTTCTTGAGTTATTTTGGAATAAATAAACTAAGAGTCATTTCTGCTCCGCTGCTCGTTTATCGTATGATTGTGTCTTAAATTCTGTTAGGATTAATATATTTTTAAGGTTTTTAGATCTCTATGCACATTTTCAACTATTATAGGTTAGAACAAATCGCAATCTCTACATGTTACATCATGTTATATCATGTTACACTACATGTTACACTAAAATTACTATACTTTACTATAGTTCTTGACATGTTACTACATGTTACACCTATATTTTTGAAACCATATTAAAATATACTTTATAGGTACAATATGCTGCACTTTAAAGTTTTAATCATTGACAAAATACTCTCTCCTCCGCAGAGGCTGCTAAAGAATATGAAATTCGCAGGAATTGAAATTGCGCTAGAAGGTATTGGGTATGAAGACAACCGCTGAAAATCGGTGCGCGGGCGAGAGGAAGAGAAGGGAAAAAAATGGGGGGGGAGAGGAGAGACTCGTGCCGATTCTCGAGCAGTTTGGCAAAATGGCTCAGTTGCGTATGAATTATTCATGTCCACGAAGGCATTTTATTTTGGCTTTGCGGAGCAGGAAACGTGTTGTGCTGTATGTGGTTCGCAAACAACAGATATATTTAGTCAAGTAGACCTTCAACAACATTACCGAATTAATAGACACGGAGGCACAGAATTTGATGATAATAGTTACAATTTTTTTCGGCTTTATACTTTAAATTGTTGATGTATTTTACAATGAATGTGCATGTGTTTTAATATAGGATTTTGAAAATTACAAGATTTTTTATGTTAATTGAAGGCGATGGTGAGAGCATAGTGTTGTGTTGTTCAAACCAGAACGAGGCAGCAAAGTTGTTTGGGTTATATTTAGACCATAGAGTTTCCTTGCCAAAACTATTTATGACATTTATTATTTTCATTCATTCAATCTTATAAACACATGCAATATTATACCAAAATATATACGTTGGCCAACAAATCCAAAATGTCTTCACATTATCAAATAATATTTAAAACAGAAAGGATTATTGAGATAATATACGGATGCTACAGATATCGCCAATTTGTTACAGATATCGACAAATCGGGCAGATGCATCCGCTAATTTTTCCCTTCCCATCGCCCGCGCACCGATTTTCAGCGGTTGTCTTCCTACCAGATACCTTCTAGCGCAACAGGTGGGAAATGTGTCTGCGCATGCGCTAAAATTTGCGCGGTTAAAGAGAAAGAAACTTGGGCCGAGTAAATATAGTAATTTGATTTTTGACATAAAAATTGTTAATCTATTGCATTGTTGGGAAGACGAGGAAGGTATGAGAACGTTCAGAGGCTAAAAAGATGTATAATATTGCAACTTTTGCGTAACCTTATACATCGGAACTGCCTCGGATTCCGATGGAAATGTCCAATAATTCCTTGACTACTCCGTATTTTTAGATGAATGAATTATCATGGATTTAATCATAAATAAACTTTCTAAAGATATTTCTGAGTAGAAAAATGCGTTAAAAACAAATTTTAAACCCACCCTGAGTTTATTTCTTTAATTTCATCTGTCCAAGGAGTGAAAACAACCAACCTCGTTCCCAGACTATTTGCTCTTGGGAAGCAAAGACCCTGGTCGGAGCTGGTCACGTGAACCCCCAGATTTTGGGGGTAAATTGAATTTGATCTCAGGGAGGGGTAGGAGAGTAGTCTGTTTGTTGCGTTTGGAAAATTGCAACTTTATGTGTTATAATTTCGGGTGATAAAAATGTAATTTGCAACAAGAGATTGTGAAAGGAACTGTTCTAAATTCGTACCGATCATGACAAGACTTCCTGCTATACTGAATGTCATCAATAATAAGTGTTGCGTTACATTTCAAGCGAGAAGCTGGATCATATTTCACTTGCAAGGAAAACACTCCACACGCGCCTGGCCTGCGAAGTTTAGCACGTATTGCCGTAGAAACATACATATCTTCTACACAGACTGATCGATCAAACGGTATTAAACGAACGATATGGTTCTTTATAGTTGAAGTGTATCCTGTCCGATATTCAAAACAAAAGATTTATTTTATAACGGGATCCTTTGACATTGTCTTTGATTTTCCAAACATCGCCAACATGTGTAAACAATAGTGCTATTCTGACTGTAAAAGCACAGGATTAAAACCCGTTATGGACTGGCTATAAAATTCATTTCATTTACATTGCTGAAACTCAACGATCAAGAAAGATAATGTCGAAGTGTAGCTAGCTATCTGTTATCACACAAACGTACCGTGCGTGCGGTACAACTTGAATATCTAGGACGATATATGCACCAGACACTGGTATTGTACTTTATATAAATTATTTCATATTTTGTATATACAGTAATTTGCAACATGTATAATATTAGACCTTTCATTGACATTGGCATTGTCCATTGAGGGCTTTATTGAAGAATAATCCAGCTTCTTTAGACTTGTATAATGGATTAATGCCACTGTGAGTTATCAATATTTAAATCAACTTTAATCTTTATCGTATACTGGAATCGACATTTTAGAAGTTTAGTCTGTTTTACCAAACAATACTGGAGGCAAACAACCTATCTATCAATGGAAACTTTAAAAGGTTTGCTACAGTAAAACTCATTAATATAAGCGAGACTTCGTGTGCATATACAGTTTATGAATTATGTATGTCCCTGATAAAACGTAGGACACTTTATACCAGATATAATAAAAAATACTTTGGTAAACCTTTTCGGCTGTCATTCCTTTGCATTTAAGGGGAGAGGGTAAATGGCGATAGAATTTATAGGAGATGCTGTGCAATATTTTGGCTTCAACAAACAGGTACTCGTGCAGACAAAAAAGGAAATTCTTGTAGTTATGAATTGTCCCTATGTCAGCTGTGCACTGTCGATTTCAAACAATTTTGTACGTTATATTTTGTCTTCCTGGTGTTTAATATAAACGATGATAGCCATTTGAAAAAAAATCTAGAGCAATATGTCTATAAACAGTTTTAGAATCAATAGAATGGACATTCACATTGTATATTTGGCTTGTGTCCAAATGTTTCACGTTTAAGACCGGCAAGGCGCTAATCCTACGACCTATAAACAGTCGCTTTCGAGACATCTGTTTAACAAAATTTATACCAGGTCCATATCAGAACAATTCATTGGCATATTATAAGCATATTATAAATATCAGAGCCACAACAGAAACGTATGCGTGAAATAAAACTACGCCCGAACCGGCGAACCCCGAGAAAATAATATTTCAAAGCGTACAGTCATATGTTCTCGTTGCTTGATTTCCTGAATTTTCTGTTGCCATAAGAATCTGCATTTTAGCATGTTTGTATAATTTAAAAGCAAACAGAAACCAATTTAGCAAGTAGTTTGAGGTATATATGATTCTTGAAGATGATTGTACAGAACGGCCACTCCTTGCAATCGAAGTGCGGAAGTGGAAACATGTAATATGAGACTTTTCCATCCCCCTCTTGGGCTATCAATTTTCAATGGGTCACGTGACCAGCTCCGACCAGGGTCTTTGCTTCCCAAGAGCAAATAGCCTGGAAACGAGGTTGGAAAACAACTTGCATATTCGAAAAAAGTTAAATTTCGTCAATATTTCGTCGTAGAAATAAATAGTTTATATTTGTCCGATTTCAGTTTAAAGTCTTTTATCCCGGACATTTTACAACAGCCTTTGAATAAACGAACTTAAATTCTTGCGCATCCACTGTTTTTGTCCCAAACGAGAAGCCCCCAAACCTGTTTTTGGTTATTTTAATAATTTAAAACAAAATTTTCGCTAGCGCCCTCAATTTGCTGGCCAGCGACAGCAAATTTCCCACCTGTTTTCTAGCTCAATTTCAATTCCCTCGAATTTCATATTCTTT